CTCGCCGACTCAGAGACCCGGACAAAGCGTGCCGCCTCCGAGCCCGTGACGGCACCCTCCGTCGCTGCTGCCCGTCGCCAGCCGTATGGATTGTTGACACAGGCCAGATTAGAATGGATGGCTTCTGAGAGCCGCCGTGAGACCAACTCCCGGATGCCTAGCGATTCGGCGGACCTTTCCACTGCGGGAAAACCGCCAGTTCCTGCAGGCATGGCTGAGTAGCGGTGCCAGTGTTTGCCATTGAATCGTGGAATTCGCTAGCGCCTGGGCGTAGAACCGCTCTTCCTTGAATTACAACACGTTAAGTCTACGTGACCTTTGTAAGACCCGACCTTAAAGACCTGCTATGTTTGATCAGTGCTGGTGCTCCGCCTCTCTCTCTCTCTCTCTCCTCCCTCCCTCCCTCCCTCGCCTCCCCCTCCATCCCTCTCTCTCTCTCCTCCATCTCTCTCTCTCTCTCTCTCTCTCTCTCTCTCTCCTCTCTCTCCCTCTCTCTCTCTCTCTCTCTCTCTCTCTCTCTCTCTCTCTCTCTCTCTCTCTCTCTCTCTCTCTCTCTCTCTCTCTCTCTCTCTCTCTCTTACCATCACCAACGGTTTTAGGGTGTAACGAGTAGCCCTACTCACAGCTCGTAAATATGACACGTGGGACAACACCACTGTGGTGCACCGGTTTGCCGTGTGAAATACATTACTTTAAATGCGCCACTGGCAGTTTACATGGTAAAGTTAAACGCTGACCTACGTATCCAATTCGGTGTTATTAAAAAAAATGCGTTACGCATTGGAAATTGTGTGCCTAAATGTAGGAACAGGAGGATGTCGTGGGTGTCATGGTATCCCGCTCTCCAAGAATGTTGACCATTTGCACTATGACGATGAATGATGATAATCTAATACAGAATTAGTTTCGCATCCGCATCTTCTGAGACGTTCCTGTGTCTACAGCCTTGTGAGTACGTTTGACTTGATCAAAAGGATTTGGTAACAGTTAATATTTTTGTCGTCAAGTTGTGGAACAAATTTGAAGTTTTGTATATGTGTAAATGGTCCATATTGTGTAGCATTCTCGCCTACCACCAGCGCGTTTGCGTTTAACCCTCGCTCTACAGTCTGGTTTTCTTCCTTTGCCTCCGAAGGGCCTAAAAAAAACCCAAGACCTTGGAAACTAAATAAGCTATAAAAAACTGGAAAATGATGGTAAAAATATTTCCCCTAATCTTGTCAAATATGTGCAGCCTTGTTCCAGCGAATGCGACCTTTCATAGGTCACTTCAGATCGTAGGAGTCAATTTAGCAATGTATAGACTCCTCCCGTTATTTCGAGAACTGAGGGGGTTACAGAAATGACTTAGTTTGGTGGATTAAGTTGAATAACTGAACCGAATTGAATGAAAGAATCAGTTGAATTTTATCTCAACACGTTTTCAGTGGACTATTCGAATTCTGCCGTCGAGATAACCTAAAAACTGCCTACTTTGAGCTCAACATGTGTTTTGCAGAGGTTACCCTTAGATATAGGTCATGACCTGGGCCAGGTCATGTGCTCCCTGGTCATATGATGGTTGCACATTTAAGTTTACATCATTTTTCCCATATACAATACCAAAACTACACAAAAATACGCACAAACTTGTATCACTACAAAAATATCAACAATTCACCCGACTTCAGTTGAAGGACCCCACATTTTCCGAAAAACTAAAATATATAAGCTGTAAGAAGCATCATATTCTTTATAAACCAAGTTTGAACAAAGGTAAACGACCCCAAAAAGTTATGTGTGGTCAGAATCTTAAGACGTGTACCTTTTTTAACTGACCTAGGTCACTGATCTCGGCTATTTAAAGCTTTATCTTTTCACAAAAGATGCTAAATTAGTAGATGAAAAGGTACTCCAAATTTCGTCTTGCTGCGAGCGTTCGCTGCTGTGCTCGAAACATCTTAGTGGAAATCAACTGCTCCCCCCCCCCATCCGGGCGAGGGTCAACCCTCTTCCTACCAGCGGCTCAATTGTTAATCCTCTTCGACTAGTGGTCGTGTTTCAAAGCGCCAGTTTCCCTATCTCTGAAGGTTTTTGGTAATATTTTCCGATTAGTTTTGAGCATGGTGAAAATTTTTTAATCATCTGAGTTACATCATTTGTACACATGCCGTAGAATATCACAGCTTTTAATCTTGATGGTTCAGAATCTATGAATTCTTTCTTGTGGGCATGCCTGTCACATTTTGCTCAACAGTGACAAAGAAAACTCTTACCTCACTCAGATAATGCACTTTAAAGGTGTTTTTTAAGACACCTTTTATCACAAATATATCTATGAAGAACATTATTATTCTGTTGGCCATTGCAAGGTCGAGATAAGCCAAATTTAAGCTTTATGACCAGATCTTTTAAAGATATTATTAATGCCATGCATATAAAACATTTTAAAGGCCTCTCTAAAACTGTTTTTCCACTGCTGCAGCTTGCTTAGTTCTTAGTGCGATGTTGGAATAGGCCCAAGTTTGTGAATACTTGAAACTTCGCCAGTCAGGACAAACATATATACATGTCAATGGTTATGGTGATGCTGATATGCCGAGTGACCGATGGTAACAGCTCCGTCCTTAGAATAAGATGCTCGTAGGGAGCATAAAAAACTGAAACCAACTTAGCAGTGAGCAAACCAATTCAGACAATCTTTCTACTTATGTTAAAAGGTGAAACATACGGTAATATTATGAAAAGCTCTTGCAGTTCAATGTCGATCGTTTCTGCAACAGGGTAACATGTCTTCTCATTAAACGTCAAATTTTTAAACCGGCATGGAACAAGTGCGTATGCAAAATAATATAACCCAGGCGCAATGTGTCGGCAAAGCATCACGCACATTAGTATCCGGTGCCCGGTACCGCACCAACACCCCAACGCAAGCAGATAACGTGGTGCGTGTATTCTTGAAGCAATTTCCGAGGCCGTCAAATTCGTCTTCGTTTTCATGTCAGTTACAGGGAGTGTTCTACATTTATATGGGGTTTTGAGCTGAAAAAGACATTTTGAAGATGCATAATTGTCGACGCATTGATACTTGGTGTTCGTGAGCGCGATTTCCAGCAATGACGACCGCCAATTGGTTCTCATTCAATGTTTGCAAGGTACGATGACGTGATCAGTTCATACCACATTGAGGAGTATATTTCCTCAACAGAGCACTGTGCTGTCTAGAACGCTCTCCTCCAGTTAAAAAGTATACCGATAGTTATGCGGGTCTGTTTCATCATATCGGATGCCTGCTTTAATACCTCCAACTGTGAAACATTCCCTTTAAACCATCGTAATGCACTGTAAGGCATAAAGAAAAGTCATTCATAAATTACCAGGTTATGTAGTTCATCAATGAAGGTTCGGTTCGTACATCAAAAACAGTTCAGCTATGACTTCGGCTTTCCTTTTCAGGATTAGTTATTGCCCTCCCCTGTCCATCCTAGGTTCGATGTAATACCATTGGCAGCATGTTTCCCTTGATGGACATGTATCGCAGTGACAACACATGCCACTTTATTACAAACTTGAAGAGAACATGAATTTCACAATGCTACGCTATGGGACTGTGTCATGTTCGAGAGAATCGAATTACCCCGACCAATACACGAATGAAATAGTTAATGTCATCATCGGCTACCAAATCCGGAGTCAGCGGCAGCCTACCGCCGGCAGGTCTTATCCCGCAGTTAACACGATGCACCCGCGTTGGCCAGCGTTTGTTTTTTATAACGGGGCAATGTCCGGCTATGCTTTTCCTATACCACTGATTCTGAACCGTCTTTTTTGCTTTTGATGGCTCTCACATGGCCAATTAAAGTGATTCACATCGAAACAATGACGCTGTGTGCGCGCGGTGACCGGGGTGCGCAGGTGCCCAGCTGATTCTGCGTGGAGGCGTCTAGCGGTGGGCACTCCGATGAGACGACAGGTCCGATTATGCATGATCGCTGTCGCGCACGGAGGGTGCTTGATGACAAACTTATGCTTGGTAGTTAAAACAACTTGAGCATGTGTTCATAAGCACTCGTTAAGGCGACAGTCTTGAAGACATCTGTTCACCAGGTTAGTATTTTAAGCGAATAAGTCTTGTCGAGCATTGTTACACCGTGTATCAGTTCATGTGAAAACGTTAGGATGAATGTGGAATTGAAATGATATACGGGCAGCATAAAAGTAGTGATGAATATGGGTTAACCGTATGACGTACAACTCATGGCACTTACCCAAACATACTTGTCAAGTCCAAACCAATGACCCACGGGCCTTCCACCTTTGCTTGAAGCACCACCGCCTCGTTACCAGATCAGCTGTGTCCAGTAAGGCTGCCAGGGGAGATCACGCCGACTAGGGCTTCACAGGCGGGTGCGGGGGCGAGGTGAGTGTCGACGGGCGCTTGCGTCATCACCGATCCAGATTACTAATAGACATCTTCATCGACGCGGACGGTTAAGCTACCAGACTGATGATCTTACAAGACAGGCTCGTCACATCTATCACCAATGTTTAAGGTCAAACACAGCGCCAAGGATGCAGACATTGGACGTGCCGCGCCAACATCAAAATATTGTATCAGTGAGGCTGGTCGCGGCTGACGTGGCGTGGCTCACACACACACACACAAACACACACATACCCGCTGCTTCACCACGTCATCATCCATTTAATCACCGAGACTAATCACCTACCACCCACGCAACCAGGGCCGCCGGCGAAGCCGTGACGTCAGGAGAGACGCCGCGTGGCAGCGGCCGGCGGTGCCTCATCGGAGCCGACGGGGCGGCGCCGGCCGGCGGCCCGAGGGGGCGGGTGTCGCGCGCGCGCCGGCCTCCGGCACCGGTGTCGCGCGCCTGGTCAGTGGCAGTGCTCGGGCCGGCAGAGATGGACGGCGCCCGCCCCGTGTCCGCGCTCCTGCTGGTGACCTGGTGCTGCCTGGTGGCGGAGGCGCACGCCGGGCCCCAGCGCGGCGACGCGGCCCCGGCCGTGCGGCGACTGGCGCAGGTACGAACCGCCGCCGAGCGGCGCACCGCGCCGACCGTCGCGCTCGTCGGTCTCAGCCTGCACGGGCTCTGCACGTGCTCCAGACTGGAGAAGTGCAGCCTGCACGGGCTCCAGACTGGAGAGCTGCTGCCTGCGCGAGGCTGCCGGAGCACGTGGGCTGGCTGGGTGTGAGAGTCTGGTAAGAGCTGCATCCGCGCAGATGACGCACACGCCCAGGCAGCTGCGAGTCTTGGAGGGATTTCATAGTCAGGTCCGTATCGGGCGAAATACTTGGGGATTTATGATGGCATCGGGGCATATCAGCCACATTGGTACCTCGGGCATGTGTAGGCCATTCTCTGAAGAAGGGCCGGAAACGATGGCTGTATTTAAGATATAAATGTCTCGCGGTACTCGTAGAAGCAGATGTTTTTGACCCGTGTGCTTCATTCGGCTTTATCGCAGGCTGGAAATTTTTCGTTTGCAATGCTAACGAATTGGTAGAGCTAATTGTTCTGTAACGTTGTACTACTGGAAAACAACCACTTACATCCAACCAGCTCGCAAGAAAATACTTCGCAAACATTGCAGCATGATTTCCACGCATTACGTTTATGGTCGCTGTCACCTGGACAGCGGCACGACTGGTACATTCAGTCATGACAAAGGCGCAAGCCCGTTAGAAGCGTGGCAGGCCGGGCAGGTGCTGACATTCTGTAAACAACTTATTTACCCCAGGTTAGGACAAACTTGGCTAACGACATTTCTTGCCACACTTTAAGCGAATTGAGTCATGTGCAGGCGAATAAAATTGATAATTGCCTGTTGTCACTTGTAGGTGTCTTTCACGGGAGTCGGGTACACAGGGTCAATGATACGGAGCTCGCGCGCGCCAATACCTTTGGCTTAGAATTGAGCGGTGACGTACCTGGCCATTTCCAAAACATAAAATCGACCTCAGCATTCATGTATGTCGGTACGACTGCAAGAAGAGTATTGCGTGTGCGTAAATATTGTGGATTTGGTTTCAGATCACAGTTATATTGGTTATTGTTTCTTGTACTACATCGCTGCGTAGCAATAAATGCGGTAACAGTAATAAACATTTACGTGATGTGACGACCGAGGTGGTTTCAGACACAACTGATATGTTATTGTCATTCCTGATATCGCAGTACAACTGACTAAAGCCCGCTGCCTTTGGGAACCTTGCGAATGGTGCTTGAAACATCCAGGTTTTTAACTTTGAATATGTGGGCAATGATTTTTAAATGAGTTTAGCAGGAACAGTTACGCTGATGTTTAGCGATACCCGTAGATTCACAAACAACATGGATTTAAATTTGACTGGGTATGCGTTTGGTCTGGCTAGTATAATGGCCTATGTTGTAGTGCAGCGCCATGTGCTATGCTGGCCTACCGCGCAGTTGGTCTCACCTTTGATCTGGTCTGATTCTGATCTCTGAGACCATCCCTTAACCATCGCCCGATGAAGGAAGCCTCATAGGGCCGTTTTAAGTTTTTTTCGGAAAATTTTCGTATCGTTTGGGTACCGCATCGATATTTTAGGTACCTAAGTCGACATCATTCTTAAAGCTGTGAAAATGTGAAGTTCCTAATCTTGAAGGCCTGTGATCCATGACAACTTTCTCGACATCATGCGGGTGACATTTCGCTGAAGTGACAAAGAACGCTCCTATCTCGCAGTAAATGCATTCCACAAAGGTTTAAAGCTATGTAGGATGTGTCTGTTTTCCTACCCATATGACTCTGAAATGCATTACGATCGGTCTGACGACTGCCACGAGTTAAATTAATCTTAAGTCAAGCAAAGTTCAACCTAGATAGTTGTGATCATATTTCACCCGTTTAGTTTGACAGGCATCTATAAGGATTGAAAGAGCTTTGTAACGTTCATTTACTCACCCAAGTGGCGTTCCATTCTTTTTTAGCCGTGTTAGTCAATGCGCCCCATCTCTGTGACCTTGACATGACATATCATTGATGGCATTTGTCGACGTTAGTGTGGTCTGATGAAGCCTTACAAAGGTTATTCGACGCTGTCTTTTCCACTGTTGTAGTCTGTTTATATGTTGAGATTGCAGAAGGGGTCTATCAAACATTGAGTTGACAAAATTGAACCGATAACAACTAACTAATAACAAAACAACTATATGTGGCAGTTTGAAGAAGCATCCTCGTTGCAGTTTTGCCCGCGGCTCCAGCTTGGTTAGTATTTAACATTTTAACAGGATGCTGTGCCATTGGGCCTTTACAACACACTCACCAGCTTGCTGAGGCTATATGGTGCCGCCTGCCTTTCACCCTGGCTGAAGCGTAGGGACCAGGGGAAGGCCTTTAAGGTCTCCATCCCTTAAAGAGCGCAGGCGAAAAATCTCCTCTAGGGCGTGAGTTAAAAATGTCTCAAGGACGGCAGATGTATAGTTAGCGCACGATAGTGCACAATAACCTGCACTCAACGACGTACATTTTGGACAGTGTAATCACTCGTTCTATTCTTATGCCAGCAATGTCTCGTCTTATTCTGCTCCGCCAAATGATTGCCGAGATTTGACCTGGTTTTCAACACGAATTCTTCAGCTCTTCTGCAGATTTTAAATGTTACATGTCTCATCTTAATCAAAGGAAGAGGCGATGTGGTGATGCTTTTGCAGTGATTTGAAGATGGGCCTTACAGTCATAAGCCTTACGTTTAAATGCAGTGAAAATACGACATCATAGCGTATAAGAGAGACACTACTTGATTTTGACAACTTGACATTGATCCAGTCAGTGTCTGCAAAAAACATAGGTCTATCCTAAGCGTTACTCGCTGAACCAGTCCGGGCATGGTCAAGCCATGCCACTTAAATGCACTTAAATTGCAAAATTCCAAGTTTTTGACACTGAGAATGGCGCGGGCTGTAGCCTCACAGCGCGTGTGCAACACGTGACGGACAATAAGCAATGTACGGACCACGTGAACGTCTTTCGGCGTGATTTAGACACATTTATATTGCAGTTTTGTACCACGTTTATGGCAAATTAGAACTTTCTTTTGATGAAAGAACTTTCTTTTGATGGACTTTCTTTTGATGAATGAACTTTGATGAATGAACTGAAAAAGAACTTTCTTTTGATGAATGAACTTTCTTTTTTTTAGCTGCTAACCATGTTTTCATTAGTTGCTAACCAAGTTTTTAGTTCGATCTACGCTCCCTGTGACCTAGCTGCATTGAGTTGGATAGGTGATTGGTAGGTGAGCTTGCATGCACTGTGCTTTTAGTTTCAGGTTTGTTTTTCGCCATAATGCACCATGTTTGAACTTTCAGCATCCGGGCATACTATGCGACTCGCCAGGATGGCGTCTGAAGGTACATTTCATATCTATGAATGCTATGTGCAGAACATCTACTCCCTACCGCTACACATTTAAGATCTGCCCCTCCGTCGTGAAAACATTCCACACATGCTCGCTGTCATGACCATTACACGGCCGAGAAATGCTTGGACTTCGGTGCGGCGTCAGCCAGCTCGGCGGGCCCATCGGCCGTCTATGACAGAGCGGTCCGGAGAGTGGCGGCGACAGCTGGGCGCTCGGCTGGCAGCCGCAGCTCGCGACAGGCCGACAAATGAGCTGTCGCCGGCCGCGGCCCGTCGCTCGGCGACGGTCCGACACCGCCGACCTACCTCTCGCTGCTGCGTCCAGCGTCCGCCGCCCTTCAGCCACAGATCAGCCGATGCTCGCCATATACGGCCGCGCTCGGGCACGAATGCGGCCCCAAACAGGTGTCCAGTCGTCGGAAGCTGTGTTTAGATCTGCAGTGAATCGCATCAGGCAGACAGCGCACGGCAGGATTCTTCGGCGCTTCTGGGAACCAGTGCCGAGTGGTGCTTTTAAGGTATTACATACGAAATAACTCGCTCGTGACAGTCTTGTCAGGAAAGCAGTCGCAATGTTGAATCAGTACCGTTGCTTAGTCCTTGGACCAACCTCAATGCCGTTATAATCTGCCGTTCTCTCCTCACTGACGTTTTACCCTGAATCTCCGCGATGCCCCATTTTTCCGGGGCAAGCCACATTCATCAGCCGCGGGCGGGATCAAGTGCTCACTGGGCGGGGGCCTCGTCCGCGCCACCTCACACGGCCCAAAGAAGGCTGGTTTCGCGGGATGAGCCTCGGCAACTGAGGACTTCCAGATGCATGCATTCTTTCCCCATTACTCTTCACTCTCCTTCATCTCATAGCTCTGAAACATTCATTGCCGGCCAAACAGAATTAGATTCCAAAACAAATCCAAAACTGCCGGTAGGTTACATAGCTGACACTCCTCCCTTGATTTATTGTCATGGCGAAAAATAATGCTCACCATGCCGTTTTTTTCGGTGAGATGTTTTTACGGGATATTTCAACGAATTAAAACAGCGAGTGAAACGAAATCAAATAAGTATTAGGTCACGTAATTATGTGGTTCTGCTTTTGTTTCATTAGTAGGCAGTATATAGTTTCATTAGTTGCTAACCATGATGCTCTTAAATGTTGTTAAGAACTGTAATGAGTGCATCACATTTGCATTGGGGGTGATGCGAGGTAAATCACCGTTCACCAAAGCTGCTTATTTATCGGTGGAAAACCGTTCGTTCGTTCTTTGTTTCGACCAGATATGGCTGGCTTCAACGAACCAGTCAAATCCCAGTGTGTAGCAGACCATGTTGATAGTCTAAGTATTCATAATGCAATGAACCCTGCGATTACAGATTATACATGCACATATCTAGGTCCTGACGTTCGATCGTTTTGGTAGGTCAGTTAGTTGGAGCGCCTGACTCCCATTCCCTCCCCCCCCCCCACCCTTCTTACTGTGGCGGGATTGGTTTGATTGGCCTCAGCCCCTGACTGCCCCCGATTTGCCCCCGACTAAGGTGACCTGCGGCCGATGGCAGCGGCCGCGCCAAAGACCAAGTAACGCCAGACTTCGTGATCCGATAGTGGAGTCTGCGTCAAGGCATTAAGCACTGCTTTGCGTGGACACTGAGTCCAGAGATCCATACAAGCAAAAGGTCAGGGCAAATCTTTAAAAGTGAAATATGCGTAGCAATGCATCTAAACATCCATCTAAAACATTTTAGTTCTTCAAATGTTTTTAGGCAGTCACCACACACGCAAATGGTAACAAATTTTATACTGTCGTCAACTGAACTTTAAAGCGTGGCCGCTGGCCAGTCGCAAATAACCACACAGTAGTGAAACAGTGTGATCCGACAAATAAGCGTCTTACATCGTTGACGCATCGATGTACACTCTTTTCGTCATTTAAACCTCTGCTTGGTGAGCGTTCACGAAAAACAGTCTGTTCGTCATGGTGACCCGTGCATTTCATGTCACCGGGATATGTGCACGATGTGTAAACAATGCATTTAAGAATATTCAGGACATGCAATGGATTGCGCTGAATCATTTTCTCAAAGCTTGCGAAAACGTGTAGGGGCCGAAAGCGCCAACTCACTTATTACCTCCTAGAATAGGGTTAAGCTTAATGTCCGCCAAAATAAGTGTTTTTCCTAGCAAGTCAAGTTTGACGGAGATGTTAAGACCATCAGCCTAAGAAATCAGCTTAAGAAAGTCATTTATACAAAGCCAACTTGTGATTAAGGGAGTGTATTAAGCTGAATGTATGATGCAATATCTGTGCTGTTGGAAAAGTTCAGAACTATCTGAAGTCAGTGCTTTTTAAAATAAAGGCGGAATTGAGCGCAATGCGACTATGATTGACAAAACAAGACTTCCGCTTTCATAACAACACTTCAGTTCTTCCACCAATTTTATACCGTTGGACCGTAGGCAATACAGCATGACGTGCCACATTATATAACAATCAAACATGCTGTTGATCATGGACATCACGTTATTTGCAATAGGTGACTGCGCTGTAGTTGTCAGGTGACACAGCTGGCTCTGCATGGGACCGGTCACGTGATAGTTATTCTGGGTGCCTGAGAAACCAGAGGTTGGGGACTCTTTTCCCGCACCGCTGTGCGCGATCTTTCGGTCAGGGCAAGAGGCATCGGCAGCTGGATCGCTTCAGTCGCTGAGCGCGTCCTAAATGCCCGATGGCAGAGAGACAGTTGGCTTGGTATATATTTCTTGCGTTCCGTAGCCGCATGCGAAGCCGACGACGCTCCTGACCATCCACACACTGTGGTGGCATACACAATGCCTCGTGATAGCAGATATACGTATCCTATATTCATTTCCCTGTGGTGTCAAATCCTACGGGTATATTTCATGCTGCCCAGGCTTTACCAGTAGCGAAGCTAAGGGGGAGGGTCTTTTGGGATCAGGCCTTTCCTTCCTCCGAAAAGTGCTGAGGGCCCAGTAAGGCCGAAGGTTCCGGTGCTTTTTGACAGTTTAAGACGCTCATACGGCTTCTAAAACATGCACAACGGGCCCTCGGACAAAGAAGATGAGAACGCGAGTATAAAAGTTCCCGAATCCAAAAACGACGTGAAGTCATTTAACAATTACGATTAACCCATCAGACATGCATGCTTTGCTCCGGAGCCATATGTGCCTCATAATGGGAGGTCAATTTGGTTGAGTGCACATAAGCCACGTGGTCTCGGAGATGTTAGGTTACTTTGCCCAGCGAGTAATCCTGACCGCCACCAATGTCCGTGTCGGGGGATTCATATATGTACTGTCATGTTCTGGCGGAATGTTTCAAAGCTGCGACGGGTACGTTCTGAGATGAATTGCTGAGGATGTCTATGCTGGAGGCTGGGTGAACATTGCAATAGGCAGTGTCTAGTGTTTTTGTGCATGCCATGCGACCACAAGCACAGCGCTGTGTATGTTGTACATGTGGAATGGTATACTTAACATACTTTATTTTCACTCGTTTTGTAGCAAGCTTTCATATTTTAATCCAGGCGAATAGCTCAAGGTTGGTAGCTTAAGTCTGAACCACCTCGTAAGGTCTCCCAGGTTTTGGTGCATATGATCTGTTCTTATTGTCCAAAACAGGCGATTCCAGGGTTTTGCTGTTGCAGGGATAAAGATGATGAAGACACTGTCACGATTCGTTGCGTCATGCGTCATTGTCTTGCGTCAGTGATTCGGAGATGTACTGCTTGCATGATGTTTTGTGTGTCATGGATGGCATTTCTAACATATTTTGATGTACTGTGATTATGACTAAGAGCGTGATAGGGGGATTATTTTCTCGCCTAGTGTGGGAAATAGATCCTGTCCTAGGCCAACGTTCAGCTTCCGGATGACTTTCTGAATAAGGTCGCGGCCACCAGTCGCGCTGCTCCGCTCTGGAATGTGTTTGTTGTTTGCCGTCAGGCACCATCCGTCCGTCGTAAGAGGGGTTCAGGATAATTCTACGGAAGGATGGAAACGAGGCACTAGTAATACAAAGGGAAAATTTGTTCGGACATTTGTGATCGTCTGGTGTTTTAGTAAGTACACAACGTTCCGAGCAATTCACACTCTGGCAGCCGTCATGTCTTATTGAGTCCTGAGAATAAATGGATGCCATTTGGCTTCCGTTGGTTTCGTTTTTCTTGGTTTGCTCAGTTAGTAAAACACTGGATTCGCAATCAGAAAACCCTAGTTCGAATCCCAGCGATTACAAGGCGATGATTCGGGCTGTGACGCGTACATGGCAGAAGCCCAAACATCACCCAGTCTTTTCCTAGGATTCAATAGCATTTGATGACAGCTGGAGAGTTAACTAGCCGACATGTTGTGTATACTAACACAACAGAAGAGGAAAATTGTCGGAACAATTATTGCATTGATGAGACTTTCAGTACTTTCAACATGCGTACACTATGATGAAACTTTGATGGCCGAGTAGCGTACCATGCTGGATTGCGTCGCACCGGCATTTCTCATCTGGATAAACAACATTATTTGGCCTCAAATAATAGCAATGATTCTACAGTTTATAGCGCGTTGGATCACTACGATCATTAGTGTTAGAAATTCACATACAGGCTGCGGCGGAAGGCCGGAATGCAGCAGACGACCTGCTAGGAACAAAACCCTTGCAACTGTCATCTTTGAAGTCCCGAGCTGCTGCGTTTGCAACGAATTCCGGTAGCAATAGCAACTGTAAATTTGTTACTGAGTCGCTGCGTGAGGAGGCAGACGTTGGCACTGGCTGTGCTAAGGCTGCAGGAGTGTACCCATGATACAACGGCATAACAAGCAGATTAATGGGAGCGCCAATCTACAGCAATGTAAATGTAGGTTTTTCAGTTGTGTACAAGTGGCTACCACTGAGCCAAATTCTTCGCGTATAAAGACTGCAGTAGACAGTGTCCGGTGTTTTCGCGCTCTGCTCGGCGATCTGGTCAGGTTTGCCGAAATATGCGGTATATTCCAACATATCGTTCAAAAATCGATGTGCTTCGATTTGTATATGCGTAAAATAAGTGCATGAGTTTGTTGTCTCGGTTGATACTGGTTGACTTAAAAAACATAAGTACATTCAAAACATAAGTGAATTTTATGTATCGCAATTAATAACTGAGACCTGTAACCCCGGTGATCGGTCCAAGCTCTAAGGCCACTGCTCAGATGACCCAGTGTTGACCAGTTAAATGCGTTAAAGTTGCGTCTCGGTGCAACACTAAAATGCACCGAGACGCCTAACTGAAAACATCGAATAGGCGACACTGATGACTTTAAACCAAATTGAAAGCAATTTTTTTCGGCTTAATATGCTACGAAGTTGAGACCAAGCTACTTCATTTGACACCTAGTCGGTGTTTGGCGATCCATCGCTAGTCGTATCGAAGATTACGTTCAATATAATTGTAGAACGGTATGGAGTGCAGGGAAATGATACGCACACGCGTGTAATTCAATTTTCACGCCGATGGTCATTCTCACTCACTGCGATATTGTCTTTTAACACCTTTTGAACAAAAGGTGATGTGGTAGGTGATGTGACATAACTATCCGTACGTTCTGAATGCCATGCAGTTTGACAGTGGATAGCCGGCCGCCAGGTTTCTGTTTGGAGCGCAGGGTACCATGCGCCGACGGACCGCCGGATCAGTCTGAGGTCTGACAGCCGCACGGCAGTGTTTGGAGCGCAGGGTACCATGCGCCGACGGACCGCCGGATCAGTCTGAGGTCTGACAGCCGCACGGCAGGTGTTTGGAGCGCAGGGTACCATGCGCCGACGGACCGCCGGATCAGTCTGAGGTCTGACAGTCGTACGGCGGTGTTTGGAGCGCAGGGTACCATGCGCCGACGGACCGCCGGATCAGTCTGAGGTCTGACAGCCGCACGGCGGTGTTTGGAGCGCAGGGTACCATGCGCCGACGGACCGCCGGATCAGTCTGAGGTCTGACAGCCGCACGGCGGCATGCCCTCAGGCGCTGGGTTTTCCGGAGGACGATCATCCGCACCGGCACCGACCGCCGCCTCCCTACATGCTCGAGCTCTACAATAGGGTGGCCGACGACCGCGGCCGGCGGCGCGGGCCCACGCCGTACGGCGCCAGCGTGGTGCGCAGCTGCAGAGAGACGGGTCAGTGCTACTGCCGGCTAGGCACAGGTCGGCTGGGACGGGAAAGGCAGGCACTCCAAGTGTGCTGGGATAGAGGAATGGGCTAGTGGTGTCGGGGAAGAGATTCGTCAGCGGTGCTGCGGAAGAGACAGGCCAGGGGTGCAGTGAAGATAGGCTAATTGGCTGGAACAGAGGGAGTTAAGCTGTGTTGCAGGCTAAAGGAGAATCGGTTGTGCACGTATTGCTTGGCAGTTCTGTGATCGCTAGGAACAACCACACCGAGTTCGTAATCCCGTTTCGCTGCTGCCTCTTTTCACTGTTGGACTTCACGCACGAACGATGCTTCGTGACATTTGTATAATTCGCTTACCTTTGCTGACATGCGTTGCGTTAGGTATAGCGCTTTCCAAAGCGGAGCTTGTAGGGTTTGGGGGTATTGTATGTGTAATGGTCCTTTCACTGCGTGCCAGTTGTTCGGTCCTCTAATTTTTCAGTGTCACATATGCAAGTAAACCCACGGTTTTGGCTATTGGTCGTGTACCACTGGTCTTCACTTTGAGCATTTTTCCCACAGATCGAATAGATACCCCTCGACGTGAACGTTTTTGAGTGTCATATATGCGGGAATGTTTCCTTGTCCACTGTATCTTTTAAAACTCGTGAGATAAAACACACGACTTAAGTCTCTCGTGGCATCCTGGTTGCAGTCACCTCTGAAGACGTTCTCCGATTCAAAATACCCGACTCATCACCGGACGAGGAACTTCTGGAGGCCGAACTGCACGTGCACTTCCCGCACGTGCCACACGCGGGGTCGTCAGTGCGCCACGTGCACGTGTGGCAGGTGACGGACGACGCCGGGCCAAGGCCCGTGGACAGTCGCCTGGTGCCCTCGTCGGGCGGCTGGCAGACGTTCCACGTGCGGTCGGTGCTGGCCTCCCGGCAGGCGGCAGGGACCAGCCTGGGCCTGCGGCTGACGGACGAGACACCTGGCGGCCAGCGGCGGAAGCTGACCGTGTCCCGACGCGGCCACCACCACAACAAGCAACCGCTGCTGGTGCTCTTCAGCCGCGACAATGGCACTACCGTCCACCAGGCTGTCAATGGTAGGTTATCACCGATCAAATGCTAGCATGTGTGGCAGCGTTGTTGGAACAAAAATGTGAGCCAGTATAGGGAAGCTGAAGCGCTGTGCGCTGCCTCCTGTGGTGTGTCTAATGATGCACAGCGGCGGTCATTCGTCAATGGGCGTGTTAAGGGTGCCTGCCGGCACAGCACGGATTCGAAACATGTCGGTCCAGCTTTTTTAGAGTGTGTCACCATGGCCAGATGTCCAACGCTGGCCCCTTTTTCCAATGCTCTTGGGATTGGGGTTTACATGATGTTTAGGGGGGGGGGGGGGGGGGCAGCCAACACTGGCGGATCTATAGTTTCCTCAGAGATACAATGGATTGCGCTGTTATTTGAACGCTGACTAAGTAATGAACTCCAGGTGAGTGAGAGCCGAGAACCCCACCACTCATAGTCAGCGTGTAAACGGGACCGCTGACACCGCTCTGGGTATGTCACCTCGCACTCACCAGCCCTGCCGTGAGAGGGTGAGTTCGGATGGCACGGCGTCTGCGTGAAAACGAGCGGGCGGGGGTGCCTGGCGGCTGACTCTGACTTCTCGCTGACATGTCCGACAGAGGAGCTGGTCCGTCAGGAGGCGAGTTCGGCCGGCCGCTCGCGCCGTTCCGTGCTGGACGTGCCGCCCGGCTGCCAGCGGCGGCAGCTCTACATCGACTTCAGCAAGATCGGCTGGTCCCGGTTCGTGCTGGCGCCGGCTGGCTACGACGCCTTCCACTGCCTGGGGCAATGCAGCTTCCCGCTAACGCAGGAGCAGCGGCCCAGCAACCACGCCACCGTGCAGAGCCTGGCGCAGCAGATGGGCCTCAGCGACCAGGTGCTGCGGCCCTCCTGCGTGCCCAGCACGCTCAGCAGCCTCTTCGTCATCTTCAACCGGGACGACAACACGGTGGTGTTGAAGGAGTACACGGACATGGTGGCGGAAGAGTGCGGCTGCCAGTGACATTGTGCGCCGTCGGGCGGCGCCGGCGGCTGCGGGGCGCCGTCCGGGACGAGGCGGGACCGGCGCGGTCGCGCGGCGAGGCCTGCCGGCCGGCCTGAGCGGCGCCAGCAGAGGCCGGACGCGTGCGAACGAGCGACCGCCGGCTCCGGCCGGCCGATCCATTCCAGAAGTGCGGAACGCGGGGCGGAGTTGTTGCGGCAGAGCCCGGAGATGGGCCGGTGCCGACGACGCCCGCGCCTGAGCGAGAGCGCTCCGTGCGTTCTGACATGTTTCTCTCAGGATCAAAAGGTCTGTTCGAAGGGTGCGCGAGCGTGCGTTGCTGCAGTGTCATTAGAGCTTTACGCAGTGGTATGCTGTAGGCAGGTGTAGTGAAACGCAGATGTGGTTAAGTGCCTAATATATGAGTTGTCTTAAAGCTGGGCATGTGAGCCGCGGTTCCGCTTATGAGAACTCACCGCAAAGCAATAGCTCCGCACGAATGCCTTCAGTCTCCTAATTCCTGTCTGCAGATATCGTTACTGAATGGGGTACGTACGGCGGATATAACGGGGCTGCTCCCGGTATACTTTACAGGGAAGTCCAGTAGGTAATCCCGAGACATTTCACTTCGAAAGTTTTTTATACTTCCCCAGGACTAAACAAGGCGCGTTCTAGCACACAGGCTAATTCATGGCCATTGCATGGTAGCATTGAAGAGTTGCATCAAATTCCACGAGCGCGGCCAGAGTCGGGTTTGTCTGGTTCAACCGAAAACGTTCAGTTTGCATCACCATTTCTCAAACAGATATGGCTGAATCACGAATTCGTTGCACGATAAACAGACCTGCATTCTTGTTCCAGGCTGAGACATCTTCGTTTAGATCCTGATCTTAGCGCCCATAATAACAGGTGATGTGCCATCGTAATGGATCTTAACGGTCAACACACCCTGGAAGACGTTTCCTCGCGTCCTTGAACCACGCCGGATCAGGGGCGTGACCCCGCCGCCTGCGCACCCTTTCGGCGTGTCTGAAGATGCGTGATTTCAGGCAGTAGACGCTTCTGAAAGCCGCCGCTAGCCGGGAGCCGCCGGGATCCGGCTCTGCTCCGACATGTGAGTACATGCGCGCGGCTGCACGCCACCTAACGGATCCTCGTGCTGAGGAGAAGTGATTGGGACCTTATGGCGGTTTTCGTGCTAAAATATCATTAATGGATTGGCAGCTGGATCTCACGCTCCAATATCCAGATGTTTGTCTGAGCTCTATTGTGGAAGCCAGCAACTCTAAGCTACTCTAAGCTCCATTGCAGACATGATTTTAGCTCGGTTGTTAAAACTGTTAACAATTGGTCAGGTTTAAAAACACTTCCAAACTGCAATCGCCTAGCTGGCATATAAGAACTCCATCTACGGCTTAATTCCGGTGTCGGATAAATTAACAATCGTCTGGTAGACTAAGTGCCGTAAATCATATCTCGTCAACGCTGTTGAACATGCTGAAAACGGCGTCAGGTAATGTGTTTATTGACGAAGCAGACACGCCGAACTTGTCTTACCGTTAACTAATCGGAATTTGTGTAGCTTTATCAACCGATCTCCCCGGCTGGGCCGATCAGTCCCATTCCCAATGGATCTGCACTTCCGCAACCATTAAATCGATCCAAACATGAATAAAACCATTCCTCTAATCCTCGCCAAGACTTGCTTTTTTCATCACGTGGACTGATAGGGAAAGGGTCCATGAGAACCCGTGCCCCTGCTGTTTCCAGATTCAGAAAGGCAGAACTTAGCAATAAAAACACCGGTGGATTGGTCTGAGCAAGATCTCACAATTTGCAATATGTTGCATGTTCGTAGGCCAAAAATTAACGCCATCTTGCCAGGACAAGAGTCATTTTTTTCAAATTACACTTTTCAGCTTTATATAACCATATTTACGAAGCCATGCCTAAAGCCTAAAGGCAACACGGGACCCAAACACGGTGTCCCTTGTTGCTCACTTTTTTAGGACAACGGTATGCAGTTTTAGGTGTATTGTTGGTGCATGGCGTTAAAGGGAGCATCCCAACACTTTTTACATCTTTCACGCACCGTTAGACCTTATGGGTCCGACTTCATCGGTGATACCAGTTTTCTCAGAACGCTTCTGAAAAGGTTGAGCATTTGATTGGTAGTAGACGCTTCGATGGAAGCAATCTCATCGGACTCCACTACGGATTTGATAATTCCTAGCAGTTGGGCTTTTTCCAACCTGTGTGTTGTGATATCCTCAGTACAACATTTAGCCAAAATTGTTGTGTGATAAATGGTATAAGTGCTTCAACTTTCCATTTAGAGAAACATATATGCAAATAATAGACAATTTTTCCGCGAATTCAACGGAACGATACCGATATTTCAAAAGGCTTATAACCGAAATGCAGCGTTGCAAACTGTTTTTGGAGTAAAAGCTTTTCAGCCGTGCTTGTCTTGCTCCAAGCACCATGACTTGAAATAAACATCACAACACCATGATTGGACCATCTGGCACCCGTGGCAAGCCTGGCAGCCTCAATCCTGCGATCCTCACTGGCCGGTCTTTGTTGACAACCACGACACCCAGCGAGGTAACGCATTCCGTAGCTTAAACTGGTATGCATTTGGAATATTTAATTTGTGAATATGCTGCTCTGAAATGTCGTAAGTACATGCTGATCGACGGTGAGTACAGACGATCGGATTGTGCTGCCAGTTGGAGTTATTGATGTTTGATTCGATCAGAGCCATGCATTTGTTGAATTTCCATTTACGGTACGCGGTCGCGATGTGTTTTATGCGCTTTATATGGGTATGTTTAAACGAAGCGGAGCGAATGGGAGCACAGACTGTCCGTTGTGTCTGCTCAGGCTGTCTATTTCCATAAGACCATCCATTTCTCAAGCTTTCAGCTCTTCTAACTAGGACACATTCCCTCCCACCATTGCCCGACACAAACTTAGCCCAACTTATGAAGGTTATTCATCCTATCGTTTTCATTACTTCTGATTGTCTCGAAATGGGTCACTGGTTTGTTCTGTTGTTTTTTCAACAAATTTGAATAAGGTGCCCCAAATTATGCAAACTGATCAATATCACCCAATCACTTTTTCACCTCATCTGTCAAAGGCAAAGTTAACGAAGGGTTGGTATAGTCCCATGTGCTCTTTATCTCTTGCCGTCAAAATCCAGCAGGGGCGGCGAAGGTGGCGAAAGGGGGATGGGTCAGACCGAGGGGGATGTCACCCGCATCGTTAAACACCATCGAAAAGTGGCAACATCGAGCTGCGTGAGAAAAGAAGTAGTCTGAACGCAAGGCCTGCATGACGTCATGTACAACATATTTGATGGCATTAGTGGAGCGGAAACTGCTCAGGAGTCAGTTGACTGCTGTGCCGCCCATTATTTTGAATGGTATGTTTTTGGTAGCGTGTGGACGGCGGTTTCCGATTGGACTTGAGTAACTGATCCACAGATTTGGCATGCAAACATTTTTTCTTGATAGGAGATTGAATCTTAGAACGCTTTGGCCTCATCCGAGTTATATGCTTTTGTGAGGGGCGTACATCACTTGGCGTTTACAGCGCATTGCGTATCGTGGTTGCTTGGTGTTTCATGGCCTTGGGCTGCCATGTCCACGGCTTATTCGAGGGATTGCCTGTTCATTTCTTATTTGACGGATGGCAGTACTATACGTGTAAAACATCAAATTACAATTTTCAGTATTAAAAAGCTATATACAAAACACACTAACCATTCAAACTAATGACTGGGTAGCAGTCAGCTGACTAAATAGGCAGTTTCCTCTCTACCCATAACATGAAATATGGTGCATCTGACGTCATGCAAGCATTGCTTCCAAACTTCCTTTTTTCTTACGTAAGCTCGATGTTGCCACTTTTTCAGACCGGAAGGCTTACCTCATTAGAGAGCCTTGGTCAGACCTCTCCTGTGAGCCCATGTGATCCGTGCGCCGCCTTTAAGTTGATGTTATTACTTCTGTAAAATGTGGTTGGGCCGTGGCATACCTGGCCACCAGCTCCCTGTTCCTCCATCAATAAAGCACTAACCAAATTTCGATTTTCCTACACCAAATTTTGGTCTGCTTGTGGATCATTCGTCGGGTGGTCGTCCAAACAACCTAATAGCTTTAAAAAATGCACAGTTAACTCCACTAAGCTACTGCCAGCGCTATGAGTGTCGAAGCGGCGATGCCTTGCCGTGAGTTTTGTTCACCTTGGTGGCTTCAGCAGGAACTTAAAACCACTCACACGCACGCACGTACACACGCACGCACGCACGCACACACGCACACACGCACACACGCACACACGCACACGCACACGCACGCACAGAGAGAGAGAGAGAGAGAGAGAGAGAGAGAGAGGAGAGAGAGAGAGAGAGAGAGAGAAGAGAGAGAGGAGAGAGAGGAGAGAGAGAGAGATGAGAGAGAGAGAGAGAGGAGAGAGAGGAGAAGAGAGGAGAGAGAGAGAGAGAGAGAGAGATAGAGAGAGAGAGAGAGAGAGAGAGAGAGATAGAGAGATAGAGAGAGAGAGAGAGAGAGGAGAGAGAAGATAGAGAGAGAGAGGAGAGAGAAGAGAGAGAGAGCGAGAGAGAGGAGAGAGAGAGAGGGGGGGTGGGGGAGGGGGGGGGGGGGGAGATGGGGGGGGGGGGGGGGGGGGGAGAGAGAGAGAGACACGCGCGCGCGCTCGCGCTCGCTCGCGTGCAATTCAGCTATTCTGAGGTACCTGGGGCAGGTTCCTGTGTCTGGCACGTCACGCGTAATGCCGATGACACCGCCACCTATATGATTACTTAGTTTCGTAAATGCCCACCAGGCCCTATTCGGATCTTGGCGTCGGATCCCGTCTACGATATCTGGGCCATTATGATAATTGTTGTCCACGTGCTGACGTAGATCGGAGAATTGCTGCAGCCAAAATACGAGGTACTAAAACGGTCATTTTTTATGTGGTTTGACAGCTTCACACCCAACGCGTGCCAGTGACCACGCGCGCGCGCACGGTATCTAGGTGCGGGGTTGAAAAGGAAAATCCTACACTTGACAAAGGTATGTCAAATGGGACATGGAGGGGCGTGGTTACAGGCCGTTGACTGACCACATCGGTTCGAGGACGTGGCGCAGTGGCGCTAAAGTCGGCCCCGGAGTCTGTGAGATTGACCATCGGGATAAGACTAGGAGACCTGCTGTCAGCTCAGCACCGGGACTCCCGCAGCATTTCCTTGCGCGTGAACTCGCTGCAGACATAACCAGGGATCAGCGTGGGACCGTGTAACATTTGCGGTTAAATGAAGATGGCAACGCACACCATCTTCCGCGGAGTAGAGCACCGAACGGTCACGCAAAGTGCCGCCTTGAATGCAGTAGTCGCACCGCTTGTTCCGCGTGTTAGTCCCCAGAGGCATTGGTCGAAGAACAGCACAAGCCGTGGAAGTTTTGAAACCAGCCATCATTACCATCATCTATGGCTTGTATGCATCTTTACGTCACACGTCGGCTGTAGATGTATGGACACCATGGGTATGGACACCATTTTTTAAACTGATTAAGGGGAGGCAGATTCGTGTACGTTCTCATCAGGGGACAAGCCCCAAAACTCAGATTTTGTGCCTTATCGTGCCTTTTGTGCCTGGTTATACAGTATATGCGAGACCATCGCAACCATACGCGCAAGCCTCGCCAACTGCATCACCTTGTTAAAAAGTCACCTGTTTTGTAAAGCAGACGGGGTGCATTTGCATCTGTCCCTTGCATAACGAAATAATTGAATTAATGAATAATTCACTGTTATTTGCTTAGGAGATTTACTGTGCATTTATTCATCTATTCACAATAATAGGGTGATCATTACCCGCAACTCATATGGCTATCACAAGCCATTTACGCGTAAGTTCTTGACACACCCAAATACCATCCATAGAATGTATGCCTGTTAGTGAATAGTCATGCTGAGGAATTCATGTGAATTATTTTTTATTTCATTTCACGCATGATTTAAGAACGTGGTATTCAACCTTTCCTCAAACATTCTTCACCGCATTCGCTCCTGTCCAGAATCCCTCTTCCTCCCTCTTTTTCAATAAACACGAATGCGAGCCAGCTATACCTCCGGGGGACACTGTCCCAAGCTGTTGTGCCTCTGAAGGGAAAGCGACCCTCACAAGTTTCACTTCGAACGGGTGAAAGATGAAACATCAGTCGCATCGATGTCATGCGTAATGCGGCTTGATTAACCCAATCACATCAATGCTATGAGCAATGCAGGTTAATTGTAACAGCGTTGCAAGTTGAGCTGGGTCTTCAGTTACCATGCGATTATACTTACGTACGCATACCCGGTGCTCAGTGAACTTACACACGCAGGGACGCAGCCAGTCTTGGTAATTGGGGGTGGGGTGGGGAGGGGGGGGGGCGAGGGGGCAGAAACACGGGATTGCCCAAGCCCTCCCCCTCCCCTGGTAAGGCGCCCAAACAAAAAACAAGTCACTGGATATGGCCCACTTGATTTTGAGGCAGCCCTGTCCTTAAGAACCAGAAGACACCGATTAATCTACCATTAGTCTAAATACACCGATTTATCTAAATACACCTATTAATCTCTAATCTACCGCTAGTACCGAGGTACCGACTACCGTTAGGCTTAGTCGGCTGATGTCGACGATGGAGCCGTACACAACTGTACGGCTTCACATCTTCCCAGCTGAAGGTCTTCCTTGCACGCCATAAATATTGCTAGTGCTGCGGGCCCGTCACCATCAGCGGGGCCGCGCCGTTTGATGGGCCCATGAGAAGCTGATGCCCCTCCCCTCCTCTTCAGCCCGAAAATGCGATCTACCGCCACTACTTCAAGGATAGCCCACGCAATCTAGCTTGATTTTGTTTTATAGCTAAGAGAGTAGCAATAGCCTTATTCCTCCGAGAAAAACCAGGAGAATGGAAATGTAGATGGGTTGGTATTTTGGCAACATGCCTTTCTCGAAACAATAGTAGAAGTCTTGGCAAACAACAAGGCATGTTGCCGAAATGACAACCCATCTATGTCTCCATTCTCCTGGCCTTTCTGCGGGGAATAAGGGTATTACTAATGTCTTATCTATGTGAATAATGCTCCTTGAAAATGCACTGAGCAACTTGATTTTGTTCTAGGCTAGCTTGTTCGTTGTTCAACGCGGAATATTATCAGATGTGGAAATTATTTCGAATGAAAGATCCGTGAGTAGGATTCCACGTTCTGCACGGGATATTGTGATGTCTCCTGCACGCAGACAGCTTCACTAAAATAAACGCACAATTCTGCAGCAGACAATCGGAAAATTCTAGTGGCCTGTCCCGGGAGTTTTTGAACCGCGACTGTGATTGGAAAATCATCGCTTATTAAACCTTAACGTCAACGCTAGCAACCTCTTTTAGCAAATAGTCTGATTCAGTTTTTCTGAGCTCCGTTCAAGCAGTAAAGCGTGAAATTTTCAAGTACATCTAAGTGTTTGTCACCACTACTAAATAAGCCATGCCAGGTTGCGAATGCATGTCACAAAAATGTTGCGACTTTATCGACAACCCACTTTCTTGCAAAACGATCGAGGAAGTTCCCGGAATTGGGAAGGTTTACGGCTGTCGCCTGCGCAAGGCAGGACTTTGCAAGGTAGGATACTTGTACTTTACTTTTACTTTTTGTACTTTTTATGACAGCCTGGTTGGCTTGGAAAAGTCGTAGAACATTTCGTTGGCGGTAATTCAAATGATTTAAGGAGGTCTGAAGCCGTGTTACAGTCCAGATGAGCTTCATTCACTCAATATGACGCTTTTACTAGAAAAGGGCTTATCTTTTAAGGCTAAACACATTCAATGCTCAAGCTACATTGCCCCGAACATTGCCCGTTTCACGAAAGGCTGCTGCGTGACATGACGATAAACACATTGCACAGCTTTTTGAGCCCTGGTGCACGTATACCTGTGATTTGATGTCTTCAATCTAGCCTCACCGCAAACTCTGGGGTGTGATTAGAGACTTGGCAAAGCATGGGAACGTTGGGAAAAGACTAAAAACTCGCTTATATCTGCTCAAGTTTTCATAAATCTGATGTATGGGAGCATTTCATTACATTGGTGTTTTAAGCTCTCGTGTTCTTGAAGGAATCGATAGGCTACTATATCGTTCAGTAAATTATCGTCACGCTACTTGGCTTTGATTGAGTGTTTAATTGGCCGTTTATAGCCACAGCAGCACACTTGTCTGTGAGTCATTGGTGTGATGCTGCCTTACAGTTACACATAATTAGGCCGCGTCTATGACATAGACACATGATACGCGTGTCTAATGCAAGCATAGCGGACATCTGTTCCTCTATGCCATGTGCTGTTTAATCAAATAATGCGTCGAGGAAGAGATAGGACGGGAGTTTCCAAGTAAATGATTTCCTGCTGCCTTTTTGCAGTCAGTGATTTCCCGGCCTCTTACCGGGTATTATCCGATTGCGAGCTAAAATGCGCTTGCAAGCTAATACCGACATGCAACATTTCCAACCTGCGTCACGGAGGTTACCGAGGGGGCCGGTGGTTTTTATGTAATCGTATCGTAATCGTAAGATGTTTGATGTGCATTGACGGAGCATGTCCATACATGCATTGCATGCGAAGGGATCAAGCCCAGAGCCTTTCATATTTTAGATGTTTTAAGCTAGAGGCTTGCAAATATTTAAGCCCCACCTTGCCTGTTCTTTCCTCATGTAAGAGGCTAGTTTGCTAGTAAGTATCTGTATTTGTTGTGTGCAAAAGTTTGCATTTTTGGCACAGGGATTTGCATCCGTAGGATGCTGATGTTTGCGAAATGACTTATCTGTCCCGATAATTAAATATATTTGAGAGCTGCTGCCTTGAGATTCACCCAACCGTGGCAGTGAGGGTTCGGGTCACTTGAAGCGTAAAAGTAAGAACCACTTTTTACCCTTGAATAATGGGGCGTACAACCTAGGGCAGCGGCCGCTCCAAATGTCTGGTGACGTTAGACGGGAGGACAGAACATGTCGGCCATTACGTCACACTAAACCTTGGCCCCAAATTATGCCGCTGATATGAAACTTTACGGATAGATGGTGGGTTCAAAATCACGTAACAAGCTTGGCTCAGCTTGAGCTGTGAGATGAGAAATCTATCCAACCAATAAGTTTGGACTAAAAAGAAGTTTGCGCAATACCAAGTCATTATGTGAAGTAAAACTCCTTTCCTAGCCCTGGTCGTTGTCAACAAGGCACAACATGTCAAAGAAACTGAAACAAGCATGCCCTTTTTGAAGATCGGCATAGTTTACCAATAGCCCATTGTCGAACATATCATTACCCTGTTCATCTTCATTGGTGCTACAGCTCATAACTTCCGTATATTAAATGTGGAATCAGTACACAAGCTCAACTAAGCCAAAATATCTTCCAGAGGCCCTTCCCCACTTCAAATGGAAAGCACATAGTGGCGCCGAGCGGGCGTTTGCGATGCGGGGCGAACGTTGGTGCGTGGAATGGCCATGTGATGTCCATGTGTTGGTTGTGGTCGGCAGGCAAGGGACATCCTGGACGTGTTCCTGTCGTTCGGCACTGGCTGTGAATTCCGTTCCTGGCTGGCCTACACGGCCGGCTCCAATTCGGAGCAGGCATTCACCACGTACAAGTGTTTGAAGGAGTGGTGCAAGAAATTCCTGCCGCGTGCTCGCTGCTGATTGGTCAACGCTGTGATCACCCGCTCTTCGCGTCCGATCCGAGTTCAACGGCGAGAACTGGCTCTTGAAACCCCGGTGTCGGCTTATGGCTCCTCCATCCCGGTTTCTTCATAAGCTTCTGTTCCAAGAAATCATGGCGGTATATAACAGTTCGGGCTCACCACCGCGGACTCCCTCAGTCAAAACGTGGCTTCGTTCAGGTCCAAGATACCCAGCTTCCAGCGATGTGCATCAGCATTTGTTGCGCTGGCTCCTGACTCAGACGCATCACGGAGAAGAAGTATGCTGAGCTTGAGCCGTTGCCTCTCAGAGGAGACGGCCCATGAAGCCCTTGCGCTGGCTGAGTTTGTGAACTGTAGGCTTCTCGTGGTGAGGGGCCGGGTGGATCGTGCGACGGCGCGAGCGTGCATCACTCGTCCAGCGGCATCACCGGTGACCAAGCGGCAGGGTTCGCTATGACCGCCGCCGCGTGAGCGTTATTTCAGCCGTTCCTCACTCTCTGACTCAGCCCGTTATTCTCGCACGATAACCCTCTGACGTGATCTCATCAGATATGCCAGAATCTCCAGACTTTTTAAGCAGCCTTTGAGCCACGCTTGGCATCTGAGTGCGGTATTTGTTTTGATCGCGCGGGAAAATCTTGTGATGCATTACTTTACACGAATGCCCCGTGAACAAGATGAAATTTCAGTCGCGATCCTTTTTTTGCCTGTTTCGACTGCGCTCGTAACTACTATTCAGAAATACACAGACAACCTTAGTTTTCGTCTCTTTTCCAAGCTTGACGGAAGTACAAGAAAACCGAATTTTGAGATATCTTGATTACATAGCATTCTGCTAACGTCACAACATGATATTACAGGCTGCCTGTTTACAAGTGGTATGGCGATCAAGCTGTCTGTCGACGCACGATTATATATATATATATATATATATATATATATATATATATATATATATATATGTATATATAGCCACGTAGAGCGCTAGCCAGTGTGAATGTGGAGCATTGAGCGCATCACAATTACATGCGGCACAATAAAACACGACAACGCGGAGTAGAAGATCGCGCAACACAGCCACGTAAGTTATCAACTGCATTTGCGAGGAGCATTTCTTTCTTTCGTAAGATGGACACTTTTAACCATATCATTCGTCGAGTTACTAGAAGAAAGAAGGAATATTTGCATTAATATTTCGGCTGCAAGTCTTTATCAGAGCGATTATGCGTAGTAAATTCAAAATTTGGGCAGGTAGTAGCCAGACATGTAGTTGAAATATTGATACAGTTTTACCTTCTTTCTCCCGGCTATTCAACGAGGGATAAGGCTAAAAGTATTGTCTTTTGTAACACAACAACTATACCCATTACCCCCCCCCCCCAAAAAAAAAATCCGTCTGTATTTGTGCGTACTATCACCAAATGTATGTGCATTCTGAGAAGCAGAAAGGGCATGGACAATTAAGATACTGCGTCCGTGCAGTGGACCGTTTTATCCTTGAGAGCGATCACAAACGGACAATATGCGATTAAGACTCGCACGCTGGTGACTGTACTTACGGGTAAAGGAGAATACTGTGTTTTGCTATGGCTTTTGGCGCAAACTTACTTTACCTACCTTACCTTATGGTGATCTGGAATTATAAATGGCCACTGGGCCTTTAGGTTCCGGTCTCGTCAGGCTCCCGGTCCGGTAACCAAACAGTCTCAAATTATGGGAAGATTCAGTGTGGGACGTCGTACATGGTGTCAGCTCAGTGCATATCAAGCCTAGACCTGAACTGTTCAACTGAGGTCGACGACACGACCGGGTGTGGAAGAGCGCTCCAATCGTTGACAACCTGCGTGCTGAACGAGTTACGACGGACGAGAGTCTTACCTCGAGGATTTCTGAGCTTCCATTGGTGTCCTCCCGTCACCTCCGCGTTGTGTCTTGTCAGGAACTCCTCTTCCGACAGCGACATACCTCCGTGAAACAGCTGGTACACTGCTACCATGCCTCCCCTACGACGACGATAGTACAGCGAGGGCAACTGAAGGAGTCTGCGCCTCTCAGGGCATGGCCGGCGCCTCACTTCATAGACAAGTCGTGAAGCTCGTCGCTGAACCCGTTCCAGCCTGTCTGTCAGCCTTATTATGCCAGCCTGTATGCCAGCCTTATTATGTCATACCTGTAACAAGGATGTCATGCCAAACTGTTAAATTGCTCGTTTGCTTGAGTGAACTCAATTCTTTACTGGAAGGGAGAAGCATGATTTTTGCCACATCTTTTCTGCATACGCTCAGATATATGTTTTTTCCAAAAACCAAAGAACTACAAATACCAATAGACGAATGGAAGCATAATGATTATGATTAGTTAAAAGGTATCCGGACGAAAACAGAATTAGCGGTATGGTTAAGTGTTGCGGTGGGAGCGGAAATGCTGGCGTTGAAAAACTTGTGGCAAAATAGAAGACGCATATATCCTGGGAGATAGATAAAGCTCTTGACGCGAAGTTGCACAATGATCACAAGATAGGTGTATTTAATGTCAGGAACTGAGACTTATTATGTCAAGCACCATCCGTAATTCATCTAGCCTGTCTCCAGGCTTTCTGAAGTTCATCATGTTTAGGGGGACGAAGACCACTCCATCGCACATAGCCAGAGCTTCGGTGCACAAATGAGACGCAATAAGTGAGCACCTACCTACCGAAGACCCTTCCAGTGCAGACGACTTTTAAAAAAGAGCAGGAACAAAATTACGCACAAGGTATGTTGCCGCACATTGCTTTCCTTCCTGTGAGATTCATTATTTAACGGCCGCATCAAAAACACAATGACCCCAAGGCTGTTTGCATTTCATATCAGCATTTGATAAGGTATGCATTGAGTGTGGCACCCTTTTGTGAATCTCTCTGTGGCATACAACTGGGATGCATCAGGACAAGACTCGCATCAATATTATTTGTTTTTACCATCAGCATTGAGCACCCATCAAGGCTATGTTATGTCCAGCAGAGAACAAATATTCACACTGTCAAAGTATTACTGAACACCCTTCCGAAGTGTCGACACTGTGATATAACACTGCTGTATCACCAGTTGCGAGGGCCGATGCGTGAAGCGCCAGTCGCCACGAGGGCTGATGCGTGAGGCGCCAGCCGCTGCGAGAGCTGATGCGTGAGGCGGCAGCTGCTGCGAGGGCTGCTACGTGAGGCGCCAGCCGCTGCGAGGACTGATGCTTGAGGCGCTAGCTGCTGGCAGGGTTGCTATGTGAGGCGCCAGCCTCTGCGAGGACTGATGCTTGTGGCCCTAGCTGCTGGCAGGGTTGCTACGTGAAGCGCCAGCCTTTGCGAGGACTGGTTCTTGGGGCGCTAGCTGCTGGCAGGGTTGCTACGTGAGGCGCCCGCCGCTGCGAGGGCTGATACGTTAGGCGCCAGCTGTTGCGAAGGCTGCTACGTGAGACGCCATCCGCTGTGAAGACTGATGCGTGAGGCGCCAGGCTCTGCGAGGACTGATGCGTGAGGCGCTAGCTGCTGGCAGGGTTGCTACGTGAGGCGCTAGCTGCTGGCAGGGTTGCTACGTGAGGCGCCAGCTTCTGCGAGGACTAGTGCTTGAGGCGCTAGCTGCTGGCAGGGTTGCTACGTGAGGTGCCAGCCTCTGCGAGAACTGATGCGTGAGGCGCCAGCCGCTGCGAGAGCTGATGCGTTAGGCGCCAGGTGTTGCGAAGGCTGCTACGTGAGACGCTAGCCGCTGCGAGGGCTAATGTGTGAGGCGTCGGCCGCTGCAAGGGCTGATGCGTGAGGCGCCAGCTGTTGCGAAGGCTGCGACATGAGACGCCAGCCGCTGCGAGGGCTAATGTGTGGGGCGTCGGCCGCTGCAAGGGCTGATGCGTGAGGCACCAGCTGCTGCGTGGGCTGATGCGTGAGGCGCCAGCCGCTTCGAGGACCGATGCGTGGGGCGTCGGCCGCTGCAAGGGCCAATGCGTGAGGCGCCAGCCGCTTCGAGGACTGATGCGTGGGACGCCAGCCACTGCCCTGGCGGATGCAGGGTACCCGCCGAATCACGGACGCTGCACGACCTCGGACCGTTCTTTCCGCTCCAGCCCGCCGCGAATGGCCGCCAGGTGCTCCGAGACCAGAGGAATCAGCAGCGGCAGCTTCAGCAGCACTGTGATCGTAGGCAGGTACATGCCGATCTGAAACACCACAGGCGACTTAACAGCAAACATACGGATTTAAACTTTTGCAGATGTGACAGCGATGATTCACCTCTGATGTGGCCTTCACTCAGGCTGGTCGAGTAGCAAGCGGCGCCGCAGCGTGCCGTGCAGAGGCCTTTGCATCACGCTGATTCATGAAGTGGCGGTCGGAAAGCGGTGTCCACTCTTAATGGTCTTGGTCGCCCCCCCCCCCCCCCTCCTGCCGCGCATGCCACGTACCCCGCGCCCCAACAGCAATCAGCCTCTTTCCCATGACGTCAACCAGGGCACAGACAGAATTTCCTTAAGTGTGTGTGGGTGGGGTGGAATGGGGGAGCAGTTCCAACTGGTGTGAGCTGCAACGTGAATCTAGCACGGTCCTGAACGCGTGGCAATATCGCAAACAGAACTAGATCCGCGTTCGGCTCAGCCTGTAGCAGCATAAAGGGAGTGATGCATATTTGTATGGGGTTTTGAACTGAAATAGCCATCTTGAACACCATTTTGTGCAGCTCCAGCCGTGTCCTTCTTATGACCCAAGCCCCTCTACATTCTGAGCTACAAGCCGCGAAGGTGGGAAGACCCTTTCTCGGGGAGCATTTCAGGTCACTTCGGCATTCATGACGGCATAGTAACGTCATTCAAAGCCTGTCATTTGATTAGCCATGCGGCGTTTAAGGCCAAGGAAAATATCATTGTCGAGTCGCTGTTATCTGGCGTTCGTGAGCGCGATTTCTGAATGTAGCGATCGTATTATGTTGACTAGAGCAGCCTTTTCCACTTAGAAGTATACGAAAAGCTATAAGTGAGTTTATTTCATTGGCTGATGCTGGCTTCAATTTCTTCAACCGTGGATTACTCCCTTCAAAATCATAGTGTCATTCTCGTTGAACACTATATCTAAATAAACATATAACATTCGACATTCGGGACATGTTTGTGGGGTACTTCTGCGGTACTTCACCGGTTCAGCACTTCTCAGTTCTTGTTTTGTCTCAGCAGCTTCCTGTGATCTAATAAAACTTGATGTGCGCAGAGATACGGCGTGGAGACCAACACAATTACTAACACGATGCAGGGGATATCAAAGAATGGACGAATGGGACAGACACCTTTGGGGAACCATTACAAATGGTGAGCTCTGACCCACTCAGCCCGACTCCACACCTCCACCCTTACCCCTTCGACGCACAGTGAGAGGCTAGTATGCCGAGCGGAGCATACTAAGGCACACTACACTCACACCTACCACGAAAACGAAGAAAGAGAGCAAACGTGTGAGAACGGACGGTACGTGATATCCAGTTTGCGTTAGGTCAAAGACGTGAAGCTGACAGACCGTAATAACACCAAGCAGACACTAACAGCTCGATGCTTAAGACCATGTCTCTCGTCTGTTCATGGCTGAGCAGCCCCAGCACTCTGTCGCGCTTACTGAAGGAAGGACCGGTCACATGCTGTTTGGGTCTCAATTAACGAGCAAGTATAACCGGCACCAAGACATTATCATTCTGGTCAGTCGGCCCATGGTGTGGCAGCCGTGTGTCAGCTAGGGGCCAGGATGGACCAGCGGTGGGTCAGCAATGATGCGGTTTGAGGGAGCAGCAGCTGGTCGTCATTTTGTCAGAGATGGGTCAGTAGTGGTAAAGGGATCCCTCAGTGTTTATAGATATCTGGTGCATGCGGCGAGATGGCACGCAATGGGACAACAATTCAGCGACCGAGGGCTGCTTTGCCATCCTCGCCTCTACACATTGTCTTGAGATAATCTAAACGCACACGGCGGCCACCTTTACGAGCCGACAGCGGACCATTGCGCGTTACCACTACGCGTGCGTTGCGTGGCGTTTCATCCCATACGGTCGCTGCAGACACTGGCGCATCTAGTCGCTGACGGACTCCAGACACCGCTGGCGCTAACCTGCAGAGCCGACGGCAAGCTGCACGTGTAGTTGAGCACCATGAAGTCCCAGCCGAGCAGCGTGTTGTGCAGGACGGCCGAAAGCAGAGCGCCCCAGCCGAGCGTTGACTGCATGAACTGGAACTCGCGCCAGCTGAGCGCGGCGCCCACGCTGGGTAGTGACGTCACACCGATCCCCGCCAGCACGCAGAGCGAGCCGGCGCCTGCGGGAGGGGAGAACTTGGGGTAGATCGGCGCCCGTGCTGGGTAGCGACCTCACACCGATCCCCGCCAGCACGCAGGGCGAGCCGGCGCCTGCGGGAGGGGAGAACTTGGGGGTAGGTCGGCGCCCGTGCTGGGTAGTGACTTCACACCGATCCCCGTCAGCACGCAGAGCGAGCCGGCGCCTGCGGGAGGGGAGAACTTGGGGGTAGGTCGGTGCCCGTGCTGGGTAGTGACCTCACACCGATCCCCACCAGCACGCAGAGCGAGCCCGCGCCTGGAAGGGGGGGAGGGGAGGGGAACACAGGGTAGATCGGCGTTACTTGTTTTTTATTGTGAGCGGTTTATGTGATGAGACCAATTTCGCAAAGCACGGAGTAAACGATTTCTTGATTTTACTAAAAGAAGATATGTGTGTGAGTATTTGTCCGTCATTTCTTCTCTCCCGTGTCCTGGCCAAACGGCGGCGGGTTTTAAAATGAAATTTTTACACGACCCGGGACAGCAGGCGACGCTTGGCAGCGTCACGTGACGGCTCTGTTTTTCGCACCGTGAGTGCGTGGTGGCGAAAGGTCGTAAAACCCCCATGGACTCTGCATGGGCGACGTAGGTTTGTCTGATCGGCGGGCGTACGGGCACGCTTGCTCTGCCGGAGCCACACCTCGACAAAGACGGGTCGGAGCGACACATTTGGCGCTTCGATGAGGAATTAAACAGGGCATTAGTTGTTCATAAGTTTGAGGTTCCGAAATTGATCGTCCTTGATGGTTTTTGCACTTTGGCTCACATCTTGCACCTAGTGCAAGTGGAGGCGTGGATTTAGTTTCGCAACGCTCATAAATATACCGGCTACATTTCACTATGAATCATGGGTTTGTGCGACACCTCGTTACGCCGCAAATTGCCAGACAATTTGCAAATGCTCAGATTTTCAAAAACATGGACAAATACAGGGCACTGCCGTCAACCCTGAAAGCTTTTTGACATTGAAAGCTACATCAGCATGTTTGATGATTCTCTCTCTACAATCACCGTCTCCGTTTATTTTTCGTTGTCCGACCCTATGGGGTCGGACATAATAGGGATGACCCTGACCCTGATGTTAATGACGTTTAGGTAAAGGGGCGCAACATAGCTTTTTACACAGTGTCAAAATGGCAATATCCGGTCTTCTGGCTGCTCCCGACCAGTTTTTTACGTAAAATGGCTGACAGCGCACGTGCGTCTTTGGTAGGACACCGGCGCCAGATCGTTTAACTGCCGGCGGGCCACGGTGGCGACTACATCACGCTATCTCTTTGCTCGCCTTCCAGCGCAGATGTCTCAGCAACTACGAGTCGGAGCGACTCGGTAGTGGCTCGCTTCGATAGGGAGTCGTACAGGAGGCCACATGGTGCGAAGTGCTCAGCCGCATATGCCATGTGTCACGCGCCCATGAGGTGACAACATTGATTTGGCTGTGTTCGATTGCTTTTGTTTTTCACACGTCGTGCCACACAGTGCCACCCAGTGTAGGCAGGGTAGTTAATCCGATACGAAAGCGTCCACTAACATACCGCTAACAATTTCCTTGCAAATCATCACTTAACACGAGGCAGGTTTACGCTGCAAGTTATCGTAAAGCCGTAGGAAATGTCGGTATTTCAGAAAGCCCAGACGGCCATACACACAACACGGACGAAAGGAATTGGCGACCGATCGGCGGCCAGCCGGCAATGCATGCCATCTCGGGCACGTAAGTCGACGACGATGAGTCGAAGCGACTCGGAAATGACACGATTGGATAGATAATGGAACTGACAAGTGTTTAGTGTGGAGTGCTGGGTCGCACGTTCCACACATGAGCTGGCAATACCTACTTTGTCTTTGTTCGATACCTTTCACTTTTTGGGCCATATCTCGGCACACAGGGCACGGAGTGACTCGAGATTGCAATACTTTGGAAGGGAATCCAACAGCGAATCGCATGGTATCATGTGCATGGTCGCACGGACCACGGGTAACGCCAACACGATCTGCAAAGATGCGGGTCGCTATTTTTAACTAGTTTACACGTTTTTTGTCACATCTCAACACCAAGGTTACGGAGCCATTTGGCAATGACATCCTCTGATAGGGTATCGAACGGGCGATCACGTGGCGCAAAATTCGCGGCCTCACGTGACACGTGTCACTTGTATACGAGCCAGGAGGAGAAACTTTGTCCTTTCCGATCGTGTTTGACATTTGGTGTCATACTTCGGCACCCATAGCACCTAGAGACACGGATTCTACTGCAAAACATATATAAACGAAATGTCGCTCTTTCACGAAGACCACAACAAAGCCAGCGTGAAAACACTTGTCGTATACTAAATGTGTCCAGTGCTGTTTGGGCCTAACTGAAATTACCTGTCGTACTCAATAGGTACGTACCTATTAGTGTTAAGTACCATGGAAGAATAGCAATTCGGGGACATAAAAAAGTTCGACTTGTTACTATCCTCACACTGTCCTTTCACTTCAATTTCACTTAACTTCCATTATCATTTCACTTCGACGACACGTCAGAAGTGAAATTATAACTTCTACCGGAAGTTTGCCCTATTGGAAGTTGATGGTCACACCGTAGTGGAAGCAATTATGTCATCATCTATCATACCAGGTACATCATATATAATAAAAATCACATGGTGTACCATAAAGTATATTTTGTCTTGTGGAAAGGACATGCCCTAATTTTGTACGCGTAGGACGGCGCATAACAACACACAGGCACGTGGTTTTACATTTTACTCGATAGCACATGCTTTGCAGTTTTAATTCCCGTGTCCTGTGCTTACTTGGCACCATGGTGTTGCTCTGCACGGAACAAGAGGAAAAAGAAGTTCCGTCATACTACCAACGAGGACCATCGTCGCAACGCAAAAACGCATCAAAATTCACGTCATAGCCCGGGGCGTTCCTTACAAGAGAACAATTTTACTCCTGCATGAGAACTTTCTAAGCAACGGATCTGGGCTTAACCTAAATGAAAGACAAAGTGGGAGAATAAGTAAAAAAAGAAAAGAATTAAAGGTGATATCATAAAAGTAAACTGTCATCACTGAGGACCTATCGAAATCCACTGAAAGGTTCTGCAGGAAGTCGCCACCAATCACAGAACAGAGCGGTACTTTCTGAAAAAAATGTTCTCAAACTATTTCACCACAAAATAGTCATCCCCTCAGCCTGGCAGAAGCCGATAAGCAACAGTGAATGACATTGGCCACCTGGATGAGGACGAGGGTTGAGACCGATCCTGGGTTTCCAAACTTTATTTGGCTCAGGGCTGAGACTGATCCTGGGTTTCTAAACTTTATCTGGATCAGCGACTAGGCCCGCTCTGAATGCAACTTTTCATTCAGTGGGGTAATGCCCAAAACTACTGGATATAAGCCACGAGGCTGCCGTATGCCATCTTGGGGACACAGAAAGGCGTGGTGCCCTGTGAGTTCCAGCAGCTTAGGGCTCTTCTTCTTCCGAAGATACAAGGGCCCCTCAACCACAGTAAGCAGCGAGCGGTGCGTCAGCATGCCGAGACGTTCTGGAGCAGCTGGAACAGGACGGTGATGGCGAAAAGAAGAATAAGGTAAAAACAGAACACATGATCGGAATGATGAGAACAGCATGACGGGCGACTCCCCACACGTCAGGGATGACCCTGACCTAGCTGGAGGGCCACTTCATAGACCGTATCATCGGCTGAAAGGTGGACAACTCGTAACCGGCTCATTATACGGATCTGACCCCTCTAGTTTTTTATCTATAAGGTTCCTGAAATCCAGTATCTACAGAGCGGGCCCTCAGTCCCAGTGACCTGAAGAATGGCCTCTGACATGTGGCGCACAAATTACACACATGGCGCATGCAAAAAGACTGTCAATAATGTATATCTTTGTCCTAATCCAGTACAAGTCAATAATGTGGTAAGGCACGCAGAGCTGTGCCTGCTACCAAAAGGGGTTGCCTTGGGCATGTGCTGTAAAGAGTTCCTTGAGCGGTGGCAGGGCATGAATGACGCATTACGGAAATTTGAATGATTGGGCATTTTTATACAAGTACATGTGTCAGCTGTGACTGCTTTTTTAATATTGGCAAGATAAATTAGGATATATTTTTCCGTACCGATTACAATTGCTTTTAATGGTGGACAATGCGGGTGTTCGTGGGACATCGCATCTATGTGACCAGAGGCTTGCATCTACAGCTGTTAGTCGCCTTGCGGTGCCTAAAACTTTTCTAAGAAGGATCATGGTTGGCATCTTCTTATGCACCGGTGGCCAAACGTATTAACACGTTGAGCATGAGTATTTGAGTCTGTCGTTATGATGATGTGGTTTTAGATGTGACACCGCGCCAAAAATTTTGATGTGTGGGTTAGCTACTTCTGGGTTATCTGTGTAGGCACCATAAGTCCACTTTTCCTTCTGTATTATGCGTGAAAACGGCAATGTTAGCTTTTTGAAAGCCAGTCAACTGAAGGCCATTTGCCTGACTTGCGTAACACCAAGGCCTGACAATGCGCATGATTCTTGGGATTCGACTGGATTCAATAGACTTTTAGATAGCGAAGACTAAGGCAAATCTGCAAGATGGGAACCGTCACACACCGAGATAAGTCGCCGAAACGTAGACGAAACTGAGACCAAAATATGTTACGAACGCTGAGGCGGGACTGAGGCCGAAAATAGGTCACTCAACGACAGGGATGAGCTGAGCTGATGGCGAACATGGCTCAGCAACACTGGTGCTGATCCGAGGACAGGGCCCAGCGACACTGGTACTGCTCTGAGGACAGGGCTCAGCGACACTGGTGCTGACCTGAGGACAGAGCTCAGCGACACTGGTGCTGATCTGAGGACAGGGCTCAGCGACACTGGTGCTGATCCGAGGACAGGGCCCAGCGACACTGGTGTTGATCCGAGGACAGGGCCCAGCGGCACTGGTACTGATTTGAGGACAGGGCTCAGCGACACTGGTGCTGATCTGAGGACAGGGCTCAGCGACACTGGTGCTGACCTGAGGACAGGGGTCTGCGACATTGGTGCTGGTCTGAGGACAGGGCTCAGCGACACTGGTGCTGATCTGAGGACAGGGCTCAGCGACACTGGTGCTGATCTAAGGACAGGGCTCTGCGACACTGGTGCTGATCTGAGGACAGGGCTCTGCGACACTGGTGCTGATCTGAGGACGGGGCTCAGCGACACTGATGCTGATCTGAAGACAGGGCTCAGCGACACTGATGCTGATCTGAGGACGGGGCTCAGCGACACTGATGCTGATCTGAGGACGGGGCTCAGCGACACTGGTGCTGATCTGAGGACGGCGCAGCTTACCGACAGTGAGGCCAAACTCGGCCCGGCCCTGCCGCAGTCGGTTGAACACCTCCACGTGATGAACCTCGCTGCTGTTGCCTGCTGTTTTCACTCTGGCCAGCAGAATCGCCGGCTGGTCATAGGCCGTCGCGAGGTAGAACGGGGAGGACATGGTGATGGAGATGATCCCCTGAGGAAATACAGCAGCAGTCTGATAGGGCTCACCATACATGGACCGGAGTCACTGTGCCTGCTCGGTTGCAGTACTTAAATCCACAGGGGTCGCCTTGTTCATGCTGAGATGTTATTGGCGGATGCATTCATAAGACCGACGCTGTATTCGGTTTTTAAAATGGTGACGGCATTGCAACGTGCTAGCGGCAATGCCGGCGGCGGCAACAAGCGTGCGTGGTTTTGCTTCCTTTTCAACAGCTTGATCCTATGCATATGGTTATATGCTCCGTCATAGGAGATGGGGGGGAGGGAGCAATTCCACTATTTTTTTTTAGAAATTTAGCCTTCGCGTCGTAATAGAAAAACTGCAACCTTTGGCACTTTCACCTTTCCCCCTCCAAACTTTTGACTCGGTTTGGAACCACACCCGGGTGATCCGGTACAGGATTTCCGAGATCTCAAATGTGAGTCGAATTGCCCCTGTTTCATAAATGTCATGTATCAGCGCCACCCATCCGCTCAACACGGCAGTTAAGCTTTCCAGCAGCCAATCTCTTTAGGCGTCCTGGTCGTACCTGCACGCCCTTCGCAGACCGATCAGCGCACTTTTGTTGATTTATTCTGCGCGGATTGCAAGGTATTAGAAGCACCTTTTTGATCTGACGAAATCAACATTTCGATGTGAGCAAAATGTGACGATCAACAATCCAATAGCCTGGGATATCATGCCCCGTCATCCATCTGCTCTTGAGATATACTTCGTAACATACAAGTAACAGCTCTTGCTCACTTGTCTGATACCCATAAATGCAGCTAAGTTCTTCCAATTCGCGTTTGGATGGTTCAAATGTCACGAAAAATGTACCATGACACACATATAACCTAAGGTCTCAGCCCTCATTTGCATGGTACGGACCTACGATCTAGGCCTGGTAAGGCATGCTTAACATCGGATGCCTTCCCGTGCAGCATGTTCGATCAGGGTGCAACGATTTCATACCATGAGCTGCGCTTCTAAATGAGATGCTTCGTGCGAACGGTCAGAGATTTTAATTTGCCAAAATAAATTTGACTTTGACCTGTGATCTTAATACGCAATAAGACTTATGTTTGTTGAGTGGACCGCACTCCATGGTGCTATATACCGCATTTTTTTCAAATTCGATCCTACCGTTCTTCAGATAAGCACGGGGGAGGGCAACTCCGTCCCTTGCAGTCAATGGTGTGCCGCTGAGGGGCCCGGTCAATGCCTGGTTAACAGGTTAAATGTATATATATATATATATATATATATATATATATCATTTAGCCCATATTCATTTTTCCCATTGCAACGACACCATCAGCGATATTGACGCAACATGAGGCCATCAATAAAACCATATCAAATATCTGCGTGAGGTCAAACGGGGTCGCAAATTCTTACAATGTCTTGCAACAATTATCCTACTCACTGAACATGAATCTGAACAGGCGCACTCAAGTTCTACACACTGCAACTTGAATACAACTTCGCAAGTATTATCAGAACATTTCAGATGCTGCATGCAGTCGCTAATAACGCAAGGTAATGAACTTTTGTGACATCTGGAAAATCAAGGTCTTTTGCATGCAAATGCCCATAAGCAAAGCTAGTTGGAAATAAAAAGTAACCAAGAGAGTATCACTGCATTAATCGCGGGACAATTTTTGTCAAGCGGTTCTTGCCCGTCATGCGTCCTCAACCAACCGTGACCTTTACGCAGTAAACCTACCACAATTTTTTGCCCAATTTGTGTTCAAATGCAGTTTATATAACAGATCGTAACAAAGCATCCTCGTTAGTGTTGGTGCCATAAATTCCGTACAAAAACAGCGTTCAGACATGTTTGTTCCAGTCTGACCCCTGACGACCTGAATCCCAGTCATATACAGCATATGCAAAGTGTATATACAGTGAACCCCAATCATATACAGTTTATGCACAGTATATATACAGTGAACCCCAATCATATACAGTACATATACAGCATCAATCATCATACACTTTCAGCCCTGGCATTGCTGGCATCCAAATTTATAGCATTTCAAAAACAAGTGGGTAGCATGTCCCATTTGCTGAAAAGTGGCCTGCATTGTGAATTTGGCGAGAAAGGTGACTAACATGACAATGCTCTTCCATCACGCTGCAACAGGCTGACGAGCCCGAGCAAATGCGCATGCGACGTTTGACAGAGAAAATAAGGTGAAATGAGTCGAATGCACACTTCATGGACCCGTCCTGTTATATGAAGAACTAAGCACGCAACGAAAATGCGGAAGGCGGCGTTATATAGCTTTTTGAACGCTATGTCAAATAGACCCTTAAGGACATCAACGCATCGACACCTAAGTCCCGTGACATGATAGGCCTTAGCAAAGGCGTGATAAGATCGTTGCATTGGCGCGTCGGCTATATCAAGAACTTACAAATCCATGCCATTGAGGGGAATAGGGCTAGAAATACCTTCCAGAACTGTAGGATATGCACCGTTACGCTTTAAATGGCCTGGCTCGCAAAGAACAAATTTGGTCACAACGTCAAGGTTTGATATAGGACAACCTGAGACGACCTGTTTTTAAGAAACACCTGTACGATAGTGGTGCACTTCAGAAAGTGATACAGGTGCGGCGAGGAGTATAGATAGCCTCTTTGGAATGCATTTACTGCTAGTCACTTTAGAGTGCAATGTTTCCAACATAACTTCGAGAGGAGTCGTAGGTACTGAACCGTCATGTTGAGAAGCTTCTAATTTGTACGTGTGTTAGAATGATGATTACTAGCACTGTGCTCAAAATTGTTCGGAAAAGATTCTGGAGAAGCATCATTCGGGGCTCTTAGACTCCGCCAAGCGTGCAAAAAAAGAGTTAAGACATGAGCATATTGACCTTTGTCCCGATAGGGCGGCGGTCAGTGTGCATCCCCCCCCCCCCTCCCCTCCTCCGTTTGACCCGGACACGTGGGTCAACTCTCTACTCGGCAACGCAAAACTTGTAACCAATTGCGAGCTCTCGTTAAGGCCAACACAACGTTTCTTCTCCGCGAAGCTGTATCATTCATAGTTCCGAAGTAACAAGGGGGTCACACTGACCTTCGCTAACCGTTTGAGTTATCAAAAAGGCGCATACGGGCGAAGGTCGAGACAGGTGCACCAATGGAGTCAGCAGAAACTTTAGAATACCAATTGTGGCCAGGGCCTGAAGAAATCAGAGGCCCAAAAACAACAGGAAGCATACTGGTCGGCTGAAGAGCACCAACAAGCGCAAGTAGTTCAGCAGGCGGCTGGGGTGCCAGGACGAACAGCGTCTCCTGCAGAGCGATGATTGATGGGACAGTATTGCGACCATCTCATAGATATTTACTATCGAACCTTGCCCCGTACAGGGACCGGTACTTGGGACTTGAGCACGCGCACGGGCGGGGCTCCCGCCAGATCGGCGGTTGGTGGCACGCGCGCGGGCGGGGCTCCCGTCAGGTCGGCGGTTGGCGGGACTTGGGCACCCGCGCGGGCGGGGCTCCCGTCAGGTCGGCGGTTGGCGAGACTTGGGTACCCGCGCGGGCGGGGCTCCCGTCAGGTCGGCGGTTGGCGAGACTTGGGCACCCGCGCGGGCGAGGCTCCCGTCAGGTCGGCGGTCAGGTCGCCTCGTAACCGACAGCCACGGCATGCCCCCGGTGAGCTGACGTGCTGCGTGGATTCGGGATGAAGCAGTGAATGCACAGCACATGCCTGCGCCTCAGAAATCTGCCAAAAGCGGTGATATGACAAATTTTGATAACATAGTCTAACATGACTCTGGCCTTAGTATCAGCAGATGGAGTGCCTGACTATTTTCACAGTTCATCGCACCGTTGTCAGATACGTTCCCGTAGGTGCGGTAAAACTTACATGAAGCACGGCCAGCATGAGTGCAGCAAGGCCAAGCTCTTTGCGGGTGAGCAGCCATTTGTTGAGCCACTGGGGGAATTGGCTGTATTTAGTACCTCGCTTCAGTTGAAGATAAGCAGCGAGCACTCCTGCAAACAAGTTCACCTGTAAGTGCATTGGATGACATTGGGTTATTTCTTGATGGTAGGCAAGCATAAATAGATAGCAATATATTCATCCATCTTTTGGAAAACACTGGCGTTGTTTCGCCCTTTTGTTTCTAAGCAAGCCGCAGTAAATGCAAACTGAAGTTCGTAATTTCTGGGAAATCGTGTAAGTGAGTCCACTTCCCTTTTAGACAAAAAGACTTCTAAGACCAGCGCCCAGAGCGGCCGTTCCCATGGAGCTAGGATCCCGGGCCTACCCTGCCCCCCCCCCCCCTCCCTCCAAAGAACCCCTGCTGACAGGGGCGAATATAGTGAGCGAGTGATGGAGTAACCACCTCTTGACGCCCGAGAGAAGCCTCGAAGAAGCTTTCGCTGGACCATGGGGAACCGTTCAGGAAAGAGCCAGAAGCTCAGATTATGCCCGAACGAGCCTCTTTCACGGCCTCCTTTTGCATGCTGAAAGCATGCAAAAGGAGGCCGTGAAATACTCAAGGAACTTCCAAAAGACGAAAAATCAATGACCCTATTTCCAGAGACAGAGTGCACCAAATTTCCACGGAAACGACATTCAGCTTTCTGGTTCTCCAAAGGACCCACACTACAGAGGGCTATCATTGATGGGGTCGAAAATTTGGGGTCCCTTGAGGCAAGGTCTCTTTGGCACAAAAAGGTTCGTAAGGTCAAAGCACCCAGCCGTCTTTCCTGGGGAGCGGGAGATCCCGGACCTCAGGTTCTAGTAAGCATCCTGTGCTCTTGGGACTCTGATGTGGCCCATGAATGAGATGATACTCCCAACGTAACCTACATATAAATCGCGTTCACTTCGAGAGGGCCATTGTGGGAGTCAAGGAATAGCCATCCTCGTTCCTCGTTCCACCAACGTTCCTCGTTGCTGACGGATTTTGATGAAATCGGGAACGTTTGGGGACATGAAATTTGGCCCGTTCTAAAAACTTTCATTCTCGAAAAAAATTCGCCAGGCCCTGCAACATTCCCCAGTAACGGCTGGTCGCGAATTATAATCAGGTGCCTTGGCTGCAGATGACGCTGCTCAACGGGTTCCAACGGGTATAGATGACGCTACTAAAGTCGTGTTCTCGCCAGGTATGTCGAAAAACCCATCTATCGCCCTCGTTATCTGACAGGGGGTGGCTTTTCCCGTGGTCCTCCCGGACCAGAGGTGCCCGGAAATGTTCCGACGGGGTGCCACCAACCTCCTCCTCCCAAAGTCACATGTAATGGCAGAGACCGCGCCACTGGTTCGAGGCAGGCCGCAGTCCAGCACGTACCTGGCAGGTAGGTGGCGGCCAGAAGCGTGATGCCCGTCATGGCCAGCGCCCTATTGAAGTTGACCATCAGAACATTTGTAAAGACGTCCACGTCCCACGGTGCGTTCGACTCGATGTTGGTGCAGATTTGGTACCTGAGCGACGCAGGCGAAAGCGCGGTGGTTGGTGTTCGGGGAGGGTGGTCATCAGAATAGGCATAGGCGTGGTACGCAGGCTGCTCCCTGAAGCTGGCATGGCCTATATTGCAAGGAGGTGCTCTGAGCTGACTGAACGCAATGGTGTGATGAATCACAGGCTTGCTGGACCCATTAAAGTAAACCATCAGGACTGTTTGCGCGATCATTATCGGGCGTGTGGATTGTGTTGGTAAGCTTTGCGGATTGGATGACCGTTCAGTCAGACTAAAACGACATGATAAAATGCGTTATTTACAATACAAACGTGCTTAGCGTGGTGCACAGTAATCACATAAGCTACAAAGCGAAACAGCTAAAATGTTCAAACTTACTTGAAAAGCGAGTAGATCCAGAAAAATATGAAGATCACCAAAGTGACGATTACCGATGTTTTCCAGGACGGAAACAGCTGCAAGGGTATCTTTTCGATCTTCCTGAGAGAAGAACGATGATGTTGTCGTCAGTGGATGTACGCACCATAAATCGGAAAGCCACCAGATTAAGCCATGCTATAAAGGCCCCTAATGAACTCAAAGCAATTGCATATATTCCCCAAGGAACTTTACGAGCCCCAGTGCTCCATTATAGCTTTAGTGCAAGTTCAGTGCGATCTGTGCTTGTTAAAACAAGCACAAAAAGTTATGAGCCGCATACAAACAAGCCTGCTCGTGCTGTCAACAGCTAACGCGTTCTAGAGCCACAGCTGTCCGCGGTAGCGTTGTATTAATGGTCTCCTGCGTAAGGGAAAGGATTAAGGGGTTCATACAGCCCTTACGGTACATCCCATTCATCGCCATGATCACTGAGCGAACTATAAGGATAGTGAAGATTGCTAAGGTTATTCTGCTTGCGTGTAACCTGAGGTTTTTAGCACCTTCCCACCTCAGGTCACTGGTGCGTTGCTTATTGTCAAAGCTGTGCTCCACAAACATGTAAAGTACCGGCTAGACGTGGCTTGCTGTTAGCATTGTACCTGTCACAGATTTTTGCCTGAGGGTTCTCAAGGTGTTAGACACTTACATGATTAACGTTGCCCATATCCATGAGGTCTGGTGAGTCATTCGGGGCAAAGTCTGCATCAGGTCAAACTTTGAGTACGAGATCTTTACACATTACAAAACAAGAGAAATTAAAGAGCAAGGGCTCGTAGAGTCAAACCACGAAGCATTCCACGTCACTTTAGGAGGCTTTTAGCGCAAGCGACCACCGTCCCACACAAGTATTGTAGGTGCAAGATCACTCAAGATGAAGATCATTGAGCCCCGTGGTAATCTCTCATTCAAGCTTGCATTTTCCACTGGAACGAAATGGTGGGCAACTTCACTTGACATCAGCCAGCCTGCCTCCTCGGCCGCATGGAGCGGTGCAGGCAAGGAAACAACGCAGTTTGGCCTCACTTGACGTCACCGGATCAGTACTTTACAAGCGAAAGCTTGATCCACGCATTTAACTGCCTAACCTTTCGTGAATCTGTGTTGCGGCAGACTGTCCTACTCAGCCTCCCACGAACGTTGCCAAGAGTAGCAATACGAGCCGAGGCTGGTGAGGGCTAGTCCCGCCATGTTTTTGTTTTTGTCTACTTGTAGTGGAAGTGTTCTCGAATCGCTCAGGGCGTAGGGAGCTTCCAGTGTCGCATGCTATATGTCTAGCACTGGGGTTCCCTCCCCAGTTATAGAGACCCCTCAGGTCATTGCACCCGAGGTTCTGCACTGAAAGGTTCCCCGGGATGCAGAGGCCTTCCAGGTCACGGCAGCCGAAGTCCTCATCCCGCCACTAGTGATACCAACATTCCTGATTGATGCACGGCTCTTGAAGTGTAAAGTCCGAACTGCCTCAAGACTTCCAGCCCCCCGGCACAATCATCGTTCCGTCCGACCAATGCTTTTGACCCTCCTGGACATGCAGATTCAATCACTGTTTTGGAACCGCCAACTGCCAGATCAACTCCGTGGGGAACTATGTCGTGGCAGTGTCCATTTCACCATCTCGAGAAAATCGTCCTTTTCTGGCCTGTTGACAACATTTATATGTTAACTGGTCTTAAGTTGTACTTTGAGGCGCCGAAGAAATTAACTCCGTGGCTGACAGCAAGCCGTAAAAAGGTTACGCTATCACTTGCGGAGCAAAGACAAAGATGCTAGGCCCCGCTTTGGAAGCGAATTGCGAGCCATTAATTCTTCCTTCACGGTATCTGAAGAGGACCACCTCTGCTGATGTGTTCTCTCACCGAGCCGCAGCCAGACCTCCCATGTCAGCAGGAGTGAAGCCCATGTCCGAAATGAGCTGCGCCACCACTGCGTTGGCCTCCGGATAGTTACCAGCAACAAAAACCTGCAAAACGAAACGCAATAACACCGGTCAGCAGCCTTTTACTCGCTTTACCATTATTTACATCGGTATTACGTACGGCTAGCATAATTCTAAGTTCAACGGTTCAGTTAACTTTCAAATTGAAAATGAGCCAAATTTGAAGTCATTGATCTGTAAACGAAGACAAACGTCTCCGATTTCCTATAAGAACCGCTTATAAATATCACTCCAAGAGCAAAAGAGGTGTGCCTTGTAAGTGGCATGATGTGGCCCCTCAGCCCTGCATCACAAACGATCTCACTTTTTTGCCACCCTGCAGATTGTTCTCCAGCGCGTACGCCGAGAGAACATTGAACGCCTTGACGAGCTGAGATTTGGGAGCCATGGACTGCAGCTCTTCGGCGTTCGAAGGACCGCTGTAAATAAATGAGATAAACGAGTGTCTTCGTCAGCCCAAGCGAGACAGCTGGAGAACCATTTAAATGATAACACCAGCGAGATTATTTCTGGCACACACTTCATGTCTCCGAAGGAACTGTTCATCCATCTAATTAGAATCATGCTGTGGATTGTTTCGGTGCAATTGGCTTCAGAGGTACGCTGGGCACATAAATGCTTTTAAACCCCTACTGTTCAGTGCGGGTATGCTTAGCCACTCACCGTAGTCTGTGTGTGACGTCACAGGGATGGACATCGAACCATGTAGGCAACAATTTTGGAGCATTATTTTCCAACATTATAACACATGACCGTGATAATTAGCTCACGTGATGGCCCCGCCAAGATAGGCTCTCTGCTGAATCAAATGACATATTCACGACACACCCCATGCACTTAATAAGGTTGTGATCATTGATGTTTGATGTCTAGTTTGCCCAAATGAGGTTAACAGTGCAGCGACAGCTCTGCAGTTGACGGCAATTGTAAGGACAAGCTTCCCCCACCCTCACCCCCACCCCCACCCCCACACATACTGCATGCCCTCCATCGATCTCAGTTGTCGGAGTCTCACCCGGCGGCCAGTCTCTGCGGAGTGCTGTTGCTGATGTCAACCACAACTTTGCCGGCGAGCTTCGACAGCGGCAAGGAGTCGTAGAAGGCAAAGGGTAGGCAGATGACGACAACGTCGCTCTTGCTGAGGGCGTCGTCGACGGTTGTGACCGCCGCTCCGGTCCTCTCCGTCAGGGCGCGACTGCAACGGAGCCGAAGCATTGGTCAGTGCGGTGACAGGAAAGTCCGTGCCAGGTCAGTGTGGGGACAGTTAAACGGAGCCGAAGCATTGGTCAGTGCGGTGACAGGAAAGTCAGTGCCAGGTCAGTGTGGGGACAGTTAAACGGAGCCGAGGCATTGGTCAGTGCGCTGACAGGGAAGTCAGTGCCAGGTCAGTGTGGGGACAGTTAAACGGAGCCGAAGCATTGGTCAGTGCGCTGACAGGAAAGTCCGTGCCAGGTCAGTGTGGGGACAGTTAAACGGAGCCGAGGCATTGGTCAGTGCGCTGACAGGAAAGTCCGTGCCAGGTCAGTGTGGGGACAGTTAAACGGAGCCGAGGCATTGGTCAGTGCGGTGACAGGGAAGTCAGTGCCAGGTCAGTGTGGGGACAGTTAAACGGAGCCGAGGCATTGGTCAGTGCGCTGACAGGAAAGTCAGTGCCAGGTCAGTGTGGGGACAGTTAAACGGAGCCGAAGCATTGGTCAGTGCGCTGACAGGAAAGTCCGTGCCAGGTCAGTGTGGGGACAGTTAAACGGAGCCGAGGCATTGGTCAGTGCGCTGACAGGAAAGTCCGTGCCAGGTCAGTGTGGGGACAGTTAAACGGAGCCGAGGCATTGGTCAGTGCGCTGACAGAGAAGTCAGTGCCAGGTCAGTGTGGAGACAGTTAAACGGAGCCGAGGCATTGGTCAGTGCGGTGACAGGGAAGTCAGTGCCAGGTCAGTGTGGGGACAGTTAAACGGAGCCGAGGCATTGGTCAGTGCGCTGACAGGGAAGTCAGTGCCAGGTCAGTGCGGGGACAGTTAAACGGAGCCGAGGCATTGGTCAGTGCGGTGACAGGGAAGTCAGTGCCAGGTCAGTGTGGGAACAATTAGGTCGTGGAAAGCAGGAAAGCAGTAAAGCAGTTCGTGTACGGTAAAACGACAGGTCAGAGGGGAGTCAAAAGTCAGGTGAACTGGGTGGTGAACAGGCGAGTCCGATCGGCATGAAGGTGGACAAGTCAGGTCAGTGTGACGTCACAGTCTGGTTCTGGGCACTGTTTGCCTCAGACAATGCCAACGGCGGTCCCGAGTCGCGTTTAACGCCCTGAATCCGGAAATAGGGAACTCAGGGAGCTTCATCCTGCCACAAAGCTGTTTCTGTTTGCATCCACGGCAAAAATCTGGACCCTGAGGCCGCAGGCAGAATTACCTGCATAGTTTTGACGATTCACTGTAATGGAAGCAATGAGCCCCAGGGGTGAGTAGCCTGTGGCTGCAGCCTCAGAGTGGTTACCTGTCTGACCGTGCCCATGGATACAGTCAGATGCGCAGCCAGGATTTCTGAAGGGCGATGGAGGGAGCTGAGTGAGAGCGCATCAGACTGAATTTAAAGTTTCTTCAGGAGTTAGCTATGCTAAAAAAATAAACTAAAACGCGGTCCTAAGCCCCTCCCCGTCCTCTCGCTGTGACGCCTGTGGGTACGATTCATGGCGTGATCAATGTGACGTTACTCTTGCTGAACTTGCGACAAGGAGACCCCGTGGGTTGACATAGAAAACCAAGAAAAGTGTTGTAATTCAGGATGTCGGCGGAGTACGTTATTGTTAATGCATATACTGCGGGCAAAACGACCAGTTTCTACGAATGTTGCGTCTATTTGACGAGCGTTTGCTGCGGCCGGACATGTTGGACACCTGGATACCTCATTAATGTGAAGTAGCACTCAGCTGGTGCAAATGCGAAGCAATGGCTTTTTGTGATATTTGCAGCAGCACCGGTCAATGTGGTCTTCAAAGGACAGCGTGGTCAGCGTACGGCTGGGGCTATGTATTGACCTGTTTATCAAAGGTGCTGCATGCGTTACCACCAACTTTTCGCAACCAAGACGCCGCGTACGTTGGCTGATTGTGATCGCCTTCGGAACGAAGTCGACGGTACACGCGTGTTGCGGAGCAAGATTAGAATGTTGTTTGTGTGCTGTTATTTCTATTGTTGGTTGGATTATCGGTAAAATCAAATGCTACGTATACCGTCGTAACTAAGCAACACGCAGGCAACACAGGTGTAAGGAAGTAGGTGCGAGCGTACGCTGTTAGGGAGAGGGATAGTCTTACTGGTTTGTCTGCACCCATACAAAGACAACAGAATGCCCCCGGGAAGCGGAGCGACCAAAACACCGGTCCTTATCCAGAGCAGCTCAGATGCGCCGCTCGCTCTTACTTCTTCCGCGGGTTCCTGGAGCCGAGGGTGACCGGATAGCCGCTGCGCACGGCCCGGCCAGCCAGGGCCCGACCGTAGTCACCGGCGCCGATCACAGCCAGGCGGGGCCGGCTCGGCTCCGGCTCCGGCTCCAGCTCCGGCTCCGGCTCCGGCTCCGGCTCCGGCTCCGGCGCCGGCTCCGCAGGGACCGCGTCTGTCCCCGGCTGGCCGGCTGGTGCCGGCGGCGCCTGCTGAGCGGCGCCGGCCTGACCGCGCAGCGAGCTGACAGCCACGGTGAGCGGCACACTGAAGCGCCGGTTCAGGATGGCTGTGAGCGTAGCCTCCGGTATAGCAGGATGCCGTCGTACCTCGCTCTCGTCCTGCGTCCGGCTCTCGGGCGACTCCATGCCGCCTCTAGCGACCAAGCACAGCTGTCGTTCGTGATGGCGAGTTCGTGATAGCTGCAGTTGGTGACAGGGATGTCACGGAAGTGCCCGGCTAATTGGTGCGTGACTGGACGCGGAAAGGCGTGACCAAAGTCACCAGCAGCAGCGCAACATCATGATCGCATGTCATGCGTACGTTAGGATACCATCACGTCCATGGCTTCATCCTTCGTCTCGACATTGGAGACATTGAAAATTTTGAACAGCCAGCCGTCTGGAAGCAGCTGACCGTCGAAGCAAACTAACCGTGACTTAAGGAATCAGAGCCAAGAATGGAACATCAGAATGCAATATGGGACCTTGTAGCCAGCGGACATAACTTTATCAGTAAACTGATGCTGAATGCTTGAGGCACCGAAGGCACGAAGTAAAATTAGTACAGATGCAAAGTTAGAATGCAATTCTTATGTCCGCATACTTCACTTTGTGTTGCAAAAAATCCCAGCTTAATGACTTCATTGTCGAATAAAAACAGCCTTCGAATTTCGAATGAAAATAACGAGATAGCGAATGTCAAGATCCAAGACGGGCATCCTAAACCGGTGTTTGTTAACTGCACTCAGGCATTTACTTGTTTGAGGGGATGACTTTATGCATGTTTTCATCTTAAAATATCCGTAAAATCGACATTGGAAGTGTTCCGCCTTCCAGAGTCCGGCACTTAACAATTCTTAACGGCTGAAAATCCGATCCTGATTTTTGACTGTTTTCGTAAAACTCAACGTTATGTTCACATACATCTCTTCGTTCATTTTCAGAGAACGACAAGGCTAATTACGACTTCGCGAACACCTCCAATTCTATTTTAGGTTGCCAGCATAGATCAAGGCACATTTCGACACCTTTACCGATAATATTGCAAACAATAAGAGAAAACTTCTGCGAATAACACCGTCAAGCAAAATGATCGCGATTTGGCAAGGCTGATACTTAAAAGCAAACAGGTTGTCGGCATCTTACCTTAGCTCCAACGTCAGGAAGCTTAACCGGCCTCGATCGCGCAATTACACCGCCGTCGGCCGTGTCCAGCGCCCCCAGCTCGAGCCTGGGTCGGGCTCTGGCCGCCTCCGCGACGGTGACCGCTGCGTTACCAAGTGGGCGCGCGCTGTACGCCGATCGACCCCGCTGGGCCGGTGGGCAGCTGTCGCCGCGCCACGACCCGCACACGGCCCCGCGCCCGACGGCCAGCGGCGGACGGCGAGGGGCAGGCATCGACCAGCGCGGCCGCTGACGCAGCTCTTCGGGAAGGCTGCGACGCGCGAGTCCGAGGCTTTGTGGCGCGCTTCCGGTGCCTTGTCAGCGAGATCTAACGAGTCCGGTGTCGAGTCCCTCCCCCTGTTCCACCCACGCCTTGTCCTCACTCCCGCTGACTGGTGACGCCGCCGTGGTGTTCGGCAGGTGCGCGGGTCGATCGGGTGTGAACTCCGCGTAGCGTATGGCTCGAAGATCTTTCAGGAGCCTCCTTTTATGTTCACAGAACTGCTTACACTGGGAAGAGGTCCGTGCATTTACTCACTCTTGGCAAGGTTATCAGTTGGCGTTTATTCAAGACATTAAAATGTCCGTGTGTATCCGCTGCAATCCTGCTGGAAACCCCATGCTTTCAGAGGGGACAGTCGTCCCTACTGTCGGCAGGCAGGGGGGGGGGGGGGGCGGCACGAGTGTGCTTTTATTCCTTTGAAATCTGGAAGTCCTTTTGTCGAAACTGAAGATTTTGTTGGTACTGATGTCTGATCGAAATTCAGTTCAAGGAGGCCCCCATCGCTAAGCTGCGAGGTACTACACCGGCCTCTGCAGACACTTTTCTGCACCAAAAAGTTTGTTTTCTGGATCGGGAGGCCTGATCTTCGATAAAAGAGGCCTTTTTCTGACATGGGAGGCCCCCTTTTGATCTACGAGTCCGTGTTTCGGATTAGGAGGCGCCCGCTATAAATCAGGATGTTCCTTTTCCAGTCCAGAAGGCTCCCTCTCATGTGTCAGGGGATCACTGTTCCGGAGATTGATGCCCTGCTCTGGGATCATGAGGCTGTTCGCCGGATTCGAGGTCCTCTTGTTAATCGGAAGGATCCTGCTCTCAGTTGGGATGCTCAGATTTGTATTCGAAGGCCCTTTTAGGGAGCTGGAGGCTCTGTCTGTCTGTCTGCCTCTCTGTCTGTCTGGTGGCCCTTTGCTGCGTTCTGGAACTCCCTGTATTAATCAGAACGCCCTGTTTGGGGCTTTTTTATTGTCAATGCTCATTGCCACGGATGTCTCTATATGTAATCAGGGTTTCATAAGGAGGCACGTGCCCCTTGAATACGGCACTGCCCGGAAGACCCCATTTTGTTCATGAGGTCCTCGGAAAAGTTTACTCACCCAACTCACAATCTGTGGTGCCGCCGCCGGCTACAGTATCTTTACGTAACGGATATATTAATATCTTGAAGTGTAGGTGAGTTGATCGCAACTTTAACAAATTCATCAACATTTCAGTTCGGGCCAGGCCCTTCAATAGCCGGGTTTAATTACTTAAGTTTTCAGCGCCTTTGTCGAGAAGGCTGGGAAGGATGCCAGTCATCTAAACCCTTCCACAGCCACAACAGGCCTGAGTCGGGCTTCATCTCAGCCTTTAGACATGTTTGAGCTTCACATTTCGCCTGGCGTGTTCCATAATCACAATCCGTGCTGCTTGGACACAGTTCTCGGAACTCGCCCAAAATAGCTTTGAAAGGCATATGAGCTGTCGAATAGCGTTTCGTTGGATTATCATTTTGAAATCATAAGGCAGCGCTTGTGCTTCTGCGACGCATCTGGAATGCGCTGGCAATTTTAGGAACTTTCGTCAGATATGGTTTTGACAGAATTTGATGACTTGTTATGATTTTGGTTTTGCGCCCTAGTTATGTGTGGTACTATACGCATCGTTATCATCTTTACAAAGTTGTTTCTGAATAAAACGTTTTAGCGCTCCCGGATGAGCCATTTTTTCAGCTTTGCCGGGAAAGGAGGGGTGACATTTAAGTCGTTTTCTCTTTTCCGCATCACATTTTAGCTCCAGCGAGCACGTACCCATCCCCTTGTAGAACTTATGTCATGTATAGATGCACACATGACGAAATATTGACAATGAAAACGGTACCAGATAAACACGTGGAAATACCAGAATAAGATTGCAACACAAACACCAGAGATAAGATTAAAAGCATAAGATATAGATTTGCAACATGAAAATGCTGTGCACACCCTCACTCAGCTTGTCATATTTATCTTTTAGTTGTGCCAAGCTGCCACTGTGCAAACTTGCGTACGCCACCGTGTCACACATTATGAAGGATGGCTGATATATCCTCCTTAACATGCAAAAATGACTTTCCGAAAACTCCAAGATCAAAGCTACCGCACAACCCATTTTTCAGAGTTCACACCATTGAAGGAGAAAAACAGACAGTAGACTCCCTAAATATGCTGTTTCTGGTCATTCTGTCGTCCTTAAGATGGTTTGCTCTCTGGAAAACTCCCCAGGGAGTAAAAAACATTCAGTGCAAGTACGTTGTTGCTCTAATCACGATACGGTGCGCTATAAATAACTTGACGCTAAACTCTCCGTCTGTGAACGGCTGATTAAACTTGCCTACTGACTAGCAAACACGATCTCGTTTGTGAGCCCAATAAACACCGTCGGTGGACGGCACCGAGACGCAAACACGTCTTTTGCAGTCAGGGATGACACATCTCACGCGCGCTGGCGCAAGGAGAGCATGCATTAACTTTAACCAAGCCAAAGAATCCTTTAACTAAACCTGATCAAAGCATGACTTTTGGGCTATTCATTATTTCGTTGCGCCGCTCGCCTATGATTACATCATGAGATCCGTGGTTAAAACAGCTGATTTCACATAAACACATAGATACGAGATGCATCATAATGTTGAAGAGGAAAACCTACATCGGTGCTTTGCATCAATATGTCCAAGTTTATTAAACACCTGACAACGTCGACCAGCCCTGGCCGCGCTGTTGCTGTGCCGAGGCCGACATATGTGCGCCACAATCGCCCTTCGATGCTGCGGCATGATGCGCCATTATCCAGGTGGCTAAACGAACCGTGGGCGGGGCCACGAGACTTGGCATCCACTCATCAAACATTGTTGTTTTATCTAGGCTATAGTCTGCAGATAAGTTCTGCATTATAAAATACTGGGATGGGGATAAGGTGTTCTGGATTTGTCAGACATTGGTACACATTTATTTCAAACGCAAGCCCCTCATTTCGATTCAGTCTAAGCAGAGCACGCTGGGTGGTGGTTGCTGTTTGAACTTGACCTGAGCACTTGAATCTGTCAGATTTGTCAGGCACATTATTCCCGTGATGTGCATCGGGCCTAATAAATGGTATTCAGCCTAACCTGCCACTTCTTCTTGATAAGATCAGAATCGCGCGTGTTCTTATGCGATGTGTGGGCATTTGAACCACTGAGAATGCATTTTGTGTTGGTGAACTAAAATAAGCAGAAGTGGCGCAGCGCTTAAGCCATATTAATCCGCTGATGATGTGAATGCATGTGTCGTAATTGATTTGTGAAAGATTTTACTCTGTATCTAAAAATCTAAACATTAGATAGGTTGCTACCTTGTTGTCACGCATGTTGCAAAATTTCTCTTGTCATGATTAGCTACTTTGTATAACAAATCAGTAATTGATTGCGCATT